GGGTGGTTATCTTGAGATGATTTCGGGGCTTTAGTGTCCCCGCGGCCCGGTCCTCGACCAGGCATCCACCCCCAGGAAGCAGCCCGTGACAGCTGACTAACACCCAGGTACCTATTTTACTGCTAGGTAACAGGGGCATAGGGTGAAAGAAACTCTGCCTATTGTTTCTCGCCGGCGCCTGGGATCGAACCCAGGACCACAGGATCACAAGTCCAGCGTGCTATCCGCTCGACCGACCGGCTCCCAATTTGAGGACATTTTCTAGTCATGTTTCTTGCTGCTTTAGGCCCGTGGGGCTTCCATGTCGGTGCTGCGTACTCAATATTATTGTATATCCTGCCCTCGTTATCCTGCTGATGTGGGGATTCTGGTGATAGATCCCAAGGTATGACCACTCCTGAGTCTCTCTCATTTTCAGGAGTTGGAAGATGTCTTCCCTTCATGTTCAAATGAAGCAAAAATGAACACTTTCATGTGTTGGGATACGAGGAGTGGCGTCACTATGGGAGGTATCAGAGCTCCGTGATAAGTCAGTACACCCACACTGCTGGGTGAGCCCCAGATACCAGCACCCCCAGGACACCCCAGGACACCCCAGGACCCCCTCTCTCACTACCACCACCCCCAGGACACCCCAGGACCCCCTCTCTCACTACCACCACCCCCAGGACACCCCAGGACCCCCTCCCTCACTACCACCACCCCCAGGACACCCCAGGACACCCCAGGACACCCTCCCTCACTACCACCACCCCCAGGACACCCCAGGACACCCTCCCTCACTACCACCACCCCAGGACACCTCCCTCACTACCACCACCCCCAGGACACCCCAGGACACCCTCCCTCACTACAACACCCCCAGGACACCCCAGGATCCCCTCCCTCACTACCACCACCCCCAGGACACCCCAGGACACCCTCCCTCACTACCACCACCCCCAGGACACCCCAGGACCCCCTCCCTCTCTACCACCACCCCCAGGACACCCCAGGACCCCCTCCCTCACTACCACCACCCCCAGGACACCCCAGGACACCCCAGGACACCCTCCCTCACTACCACCACCCCCAGGACACCCCAGGACACCCTCCCTCACTACCACCACCCCCAGGACACCCCAGGACCCCCTCCCTCACTACCACCACCCCCAGGACACCCCAGGACCCCCTCCCTCACTACCACCACCCCCAGGACACCCCAGGACACCCCAGGACACCCTCCCTCACTACCACCACCCCCAGGACATCCCAGGACACCCCAGGACACCCTCCCTCACTACCACCACCCCCAGGACACCCCAGGACACCCCAGGACACCCTCCCTCACTACCACCACCCCCAGGACACCCCAGGACACCCCAGGACACCCTCCCTCACTACCACCACCCCCAGGACACCCCAGGACACCCTCCCTCACTACCACCACCCCCAGGACACCCCAGGACACCCTCCCTCACTACCACCACCCCCAAGACACCCCAGGACACCCCAGGACCCCTCCCTCACTACCACCACCCCCAGGACACCCCAGGACCCCCTCCCTCACTACCACCACCCCCAGGACACCCCAGGACACCCTCCCTCAGTACCACCACCCCCAGGACACCCCAGGACACCCTCCCTCACTACCACCACCTCCAGGACACCCCAGGACACCCTCCCTCACTACCACCACCCCCAGGACACCCCAGGACACCCCAGGACACCCCTCCCTCACTACCACCACCCCCAGGACACCCCAGGACACCCTCCCTCACTACAACACCCCCAGGACACCCCAGGACCCCCTCCCTCACTACCACCACCCCCAGGACACCCCAGGACCCCCTCCCTCACTACCACCACCCCCAGGACACCCCAGGACACCCTCCCTCACTACCACCACCCCCAGGACACCCCAGGACCCCCTCCCTCACTACCACCACCCCCAGGACACCCCAGGACACCCTCCCTCACTACCACCACCCCCAGGACACCCCAGGACACCCCAGGACACCCCAGGACACCCCAGGACACCCTCCCTCACTACCACCACACCCCAGGACACCCCAGGACACCCCAGGACACCCTCCCTCACTACCACCACCCCCAGGACACCCCAGGACACCCCAGGACACCCTCCCTCACTACCACCACCCCCAGGACACCCCAGGACACCCCAGGACACCCTCCCTCACTACCACCACCCCCAGTACACCCCAGGACCCCCTCCCTCACAACCACCACCCCCAGGACACCCCAGGACACCCCAGGACACCCTCCCTCACTACCACCACCCCCAGGACACCCCAGGACCCCCTCCCTCACTACCACCACCCCCAGGACACCCCAGGACCCCCTCCCTCACTACCACCACCCCCACGACACCCCAGGACACCCCAGGACACCCTCCCTCACTACCACCACCCCCAGGACACCCCAGGACCCCCTCCCTCACTACCACCACCCCCAGGACCCCCCAGGACACCCCAGGACACCCTCCCTCACTACCACCACCCCCAGGACACCCCAGGACACCCCACGACACCCTCCCTCACTACCACCACCCCCAGGACACCCCAGGACACCCTCCCTCACTACCACCACCCCCAGGACACCCCAGGACACCCCAGGACCCCCTCCCTCACTACCACCACACCCCAGGACACCCCAGGACACCCCAGGACACCCCAGGACACCCTCCCTCACTACCACCACCCCCAGGACACCCGAGGACCCCCTCCCTCACTACCACCACACCCCAGGACACCCCAGGGCACCCCAGGACACCCCAGGGCACCCCAGGACCCCCTCCCTCACTACCACCACCCTCAGGACACCCCAGGACCCCCTCCCTCACTACCACCACACCCCACGACACCCCAGGACACCCCAGGACACCCTCCCTCACTACCACCACACCCCAGGACACCCCAGGACACCCTCCCTCACTACCACCACCCCCAGGACACCCCAGGACCCCCTCCCTCACTACCACCACCCCAGGGCACCCCAGGACACCCAGGCCCTCAATACCACCACCCCCAGGACACCCCAGGACACCCCAGGACACCCTCCGTCACTACCACCACCCCCAGGACACCCCAGGACACCCCAGGACACCCTCCCTCACTACCACCACCCCTAGGACACCCCAGGACACCCCAGGGCACCCCAGGACACCCCTCCCTCACTACCACCACCCCCAGGACACCCCAGGACCCCCTCCCTCACTACCACCACCCCCAGGACACCCCAGGACACCCTCCCTCACTACCACCACCCCCAGGACACCCTAGGACACCCCAGGACACCCTCCCTCACTACCACCACCCCCAGGACACCCCAGGACCCCCTCCCTCACTACCACCACCCCAGGACACCCCAGGACCCCCTCCCTCACTACCACCACCCCCAGGACACCCCAGGACACCCTCCCTCACTACCACCACCCCCAGGACACCCCAGGACCCCCTCCCTCACTACCACCACCCCAGGACACCCCAGGACCCCCTCCCTCACTACCACCACCCCAGGACACCCCAGGACACCCTCCCTCACTACCACTACCCCCAGGACACCCCAGGACACCCTCCCTCACTACCACCACCCCCAGGACACCCCAGGACCCCCTCCCACACTACCACACCACCCCCAGGACACCCCAGGACACCCTCCCTCACTACCACAACCCCAGGACACCCCAGGACCCCCTCCCTCACTACCACCACCCCCAGGACACCCCAGGACCCCTCCCTCACTACCACCACCCCCAGGACACCCCAGGACACCCTCCCTCACTACCACCACCCCCAGGACACCCCAGGACACCCACCCTCACTACCACCACCCCCAGGACACCCCAGGACCCCCTCCCTCACTACCACCACCCCCAGGACACCCCAGGACACCCCAGGACACCCCAGGACACCCTCCCTCACTACCACCACCCCAGAACACCCCAGGACACCCCAGGACACCCCAGGACACCCTCCCTAACTACCACCACCCCAGGACACCCCAGGACCCCCTCCCTCACTACCACCACCCCAGGACACCCCAGGACACCCCAGGACACCCCAGGACACCCCAGGACCCCCTCCCTCACTACCACCACCCCCAGGACACCCCAGGACCCCCTCCCTCACTACCACCACCCCCAGGACACCCCAGGACCCCCTCCCTCACTACCACCACCCCCAGGACACCCCAGGACACCCCAGGACCCCCTCCCTCACTACCACCACACCCCAGGACACCCCAGGACACCCTCCCTCACTACCACCACCCCCAGGACACCCCAGGACCCCCTCCCTCACTACCACCACCCCAGGACACCCCAGGACACCCCAGGACCCCCTCCTTCACTACCACCACCCCCAGGACACCCCAGGACACCCTCCCTCACTACCACCACCCCAGGACACCCCAGGACCCCCTCCCTCACTACCACCACCCCAGGACACCCCAGGACCCCCTCCCTCAGTACCACCACCTCCAGGACACCCCAGGACACCCCAGGACCCTTTCCCTTACTACCACCCCCCCAGGACACCCCAGGACACCCCAGGACCCCCTCCCTCACTACCACCACCCCCAGGACACCCCAGGACCCCCTCCCTCACTACCACCACCCCCAGGACACCCCAGGACACCCTCCCTCACTACCACCACCCCCAGGACACCCCAGGACACCCTCCCTCACTACCACCACCCCCAGGACACCCCAGGACACCCCAGGACACCCTCCCTCACTACCACCACCCCCAGGACACCCTCCCTCACTACCACCACCCCCAGGAAACCCCAGGACACCCTCCCTCAGTACCACCACCCCCAGGACCCCCCCCCCCCCAGGACCCCCAGGACCTATAGTTGACGCAACAGCTTAAATGAGCTCAATGAAGCAAAATCAGCTTGCAAGCTGCAGGACTTAAGCAGAGGCAGACTAAACAGAGAGGGGTGAGGCCCGGAATCTTGCGTAGCCAGCTTCAGTGGCCAGCTTCAGCAGCCAGCTTCAGTATAGCCAGCTGGGATAGCCAGCCGTGGACGAGCCGTCACTCGCTCCTCACTCCTTGTCCCGTCAACACAGCTGGGACAAGCCTCGCGTTGCAATGGCTTTGCTTCAGCTGTTTTGCGTCCTAGCTTGCGTCCTCACGTTGGGATGTGGGTGAGTATCCTTCTAGCACGCATAGAAGTCAAAATAACGCGAATAAGACGTCAAAATAACGCGAATAAGACGTCAAAATGGCGCGCAGAAGACGTCAAAATGACGCAGTCAGAGGAAGTGTCGAAATTTCATTAGTTAGACCTTAAAATCAACTTTTAGAACAGAGGCTGAACAGAAACGGAACCTGAACTGAACTTCTCGTTGCTGAACAGAGATGAACAAAATGAGCAATAAGTTCTGTTGATCCAAACGGAACAGTTCCTCATGGCAGCTGGTGTAGACTCACAGCTTCATCTGGTGTAGACTCACAGCTTCATCTGGTGTAGACTCAGCTTCATCTGGTGTAGACTCACAGCTTCATCTGGTGTAGACTCACAGCTTCATCTGGTGTAGACTCACAGCTTCATCTGGTGTAGACTCAGCTTCATCTGGTGTAGACTCACAGCTTCATCTGGTGTAGACTCACAGCTTCATCTGGTGTAGACTCACAGCTTCATCTGGTGTAGACTCAGTTTCATCTGGTGTAGACTCACAGCTTCATCTGGTGTAGACTCAAAGCTTCATCTGGTGTACACTCAGTTTCATCTGGTGTAGACTCACAGCTTCATCTGGTGTAGACTCAGCTTCATCTGGTGTAGACTCACAGCTTCATCTGGTGTAGACTCACAGCTTCATCTGGTGTAGACTCAGCTTCATCTGGTGTAGACTCAGTTTCATCTGGTGTAGACTTAAAGCTTCATCTGGTGTAGACTCAGCTTCATCTGGTGTAGACTCAGCTTCATCTGGTGTAGACTTAAAGCTTCATCTGGTGTAGACTCACAGCTTCATCTGGTGTAGACTCAGCTTCATCTGGTGTAGACTCACAGCTTCATCTGGTGTACTCACAGCTTCATCTGGTGTAGACTCAGCTTCATCTGGTGTAGACTCAGTTTCATCTGGTGTAGACTTAAAGCTTCATCTGGTGTAGACTCAGCTTCATCTGGTGTAGACTTAAAGCTTCATCTGGTGTAGACTCACAGCTTCATCTGGTGTAGACTCCGCTTCATCTGGTGTAGACTCACAGCTTCATCTGGTGTAGACTCAGCTTCATCTGGTGTAGACTCAGCTTCATCTGGTGTAGACTCACAGCTTCATCTGGTGTAGACTCACAGCTTCATCTGGTGTAGACTCAGCTTCATCTGGTGTAGACTCACAGCTTCATCTGGTGTAGACTCAGCTTCATCTGGTGTAGACTCAGCTTCATCTGGTGTAGACTCAGCTTCATCTGGTGTAGACTCACAGCTTCATCTGGTGTAGACTCAGCTTCATCTGGTGTAGACTCAGTTTCATCTGGTGTAGACTCACAGCTTCATCTGGTGTAGACTCAGCTTCATCTGGTGTAGACTCACAGCTTCATCTGGTGTAGACTCACACCTTCATCTGGTGTAGACTCAGCTTCATCTGGTGTAGGCTCAGTTTCATCTGGTGTAGACTCAGCTTCATCTGGTGTAGACTTAAAGCTTCATCTGGTGTAGACTCAGCTTCATCTGGTGTAGACTTAAAGCTTCATCTGGTGTAGACTCACAGCTTCATCTGGTGTAGACTCAGCTTCATCTGGTGTAGACTTAAAGCTTCATCTGGTGTAGACTCAGTTTCATCTGGTGTAGACTCAGCTTCATCTGGTGTAGACTTAAAGCTTCATCTGGTGTAGACTCACAGCTTCATCTGGTGTAGACTCAGCTTCATCTGGTGTAGACTCACAGCTTCATCTGGTGTAGACTCACAGCTTCATCTGGTGTAGACTCAGCTTCATCTGGTGTAGACTCAGTTTCATCTGGTGTAGACTCACAGCTTCATCTGGTGTAGACTCACAGCTTCATCTGGTGTAGACTCACAGCTACATCTGGTGTAGACTCACAGCTACATCTGGTGTAGACTCACATCTTCATCTGGTGTAGACTCACAGCTACATCTGGTGTAGACTCACAGCTACATCTGGTGTAGACTCACAGCTACATCTGGTGTAGACTCACAGCTACATCTGGTGTAGACTCACATCTTCATCTGGTGTAGACTCACAGCTACATCTGGTGTAGACTCACAGCTACATCTGGTGTAGACTCACATCTTCATCTGGTGTAGACTCACAGCTACATCTGGTGTAGACTCACAGCTACATCTGGTGTAGACTCACATCTTCATCTGGTGTAGACTCACAGCTTCATCTGGTGTAGACTCACAGCTACATCTGGTGTAGACTCACATCTTCATCTGGTGTAGACTCACATTATCTTCCCATCCTTCAGGAGCTACGTGATCACGACGCCTCGATCTTGGACCAGCGAGACGTCCCAAGTGTGCATTTCCATTACCGACCCTTCGGCACCCGCAGGGGCACTCGATCTCAGGTTGAGCTACAAGGACTGGGGGTCCCCGAAGTTCGACGATGTTGTCTCTTTGGCCAACTCCACCATCGATGTTCCAGAAGGTTAGTTGAGGCGTTTGGTGTTTGGTGAGTTCGTGGGTGTTTGGTGGGTGGTGAGTGAGTGTTTGGTGAGTGAGTGGGTGTTTGGTGGGTGGTGAGTGAGTGTTTGGTGAGTGAGTGGGTGTTTGGTGAGTTCGTGGGTGTTGAGTTCGTAGGTATCTGATGAGTTCGTGGGAGGACAGGTTAGTTCTCGTCAAACGATATTTCCCTCGTTTAAAACCATTCTAACAGCTTCGACTCTTGCAGGGACGAGAGACAAATGCTTCGACGTCGAAGTGCCAAGTACAGACCGCTATAGCGTACAATTACAGCTGCTTGGCACTGTCGCTGGTGCCGCAATCAACCGAACAGTGCCACTTAGCCTCAAAAAGACCCACGAAATCACCTTTATTCAGACGGACAAATACCTGTACAAACCCGGTCAGAATGTCAAGTTCAGGGTCCTGACCTTACAGGGACCGGAGATGAAGGTTTCGACACGGCAGGTGAGTTCTGAGGACCGTTGGTTATTACGCCAACCACAATAGTTTAGTGGATCGACCAATATGTGCATTGAGACGCTACACGCAGGTTCGAATCCTCGTCACGGCCCTTGTGGGTTTGTTCATGTTCATTAAGAACTTTTGACACCATACGAAACGCTTTGAAAGAGACAAATGTAGTCTAAGACCTTCACATCTCCGACAATCTACAAGCCCCACATCACTGGATGTGGATATGGCGACAATCTACAAGCCCCACATCACTGGATGTGGATATGGCGGCAATCTACAAGCCCCACATCACTGGATGTGGATATGGCAACAATCTACAAGCCCCACATCACTGGATGTGGATATGGCGGCAATCTACAAGCCCCCACATCACTGGATGTGGATATGGCAACAATCTACAAGCCCCACATCACTGGATGTGGATATGGCAACAATCTACTAGCCCCCACATCACTAGCGACCAGACCACACACACATCAGCTAAAGAGACGCCGACGTTTCGGTCCATCCTGGACCACACATGATAATGGTCCAGTACGGACCGAAACGTCGATGTTTCTTCACTTTCTGACGTGTAGTTTGGTCACCATAAGGGATTGGAAAAGTTCAGTTGGCCTATTGGTCCATGAATGAGGGTTTTCACCTGCACCTCGGCCCCCTGGGTATAGATCCGGATGCTCAAGAACGTTTCTCAGCTTGAAATCCGCCTTTGGTAATGTTGACAAGTTAGGGAAACGCGCCTCATAGCGTCTGACCATAATGACAGTAGCATAGTTGGGGTATAACACATGTGGACATATATACTGATAAGTTCTGGTATACATAGGATAGATATATTATTATATATACCTGTATCTCAAGTAAAGTACATATATATTCAACCCGTTCTCGCACTTTCTTACAGTCAATATTGACTTATTAAATAAGTGCATATGTGACATACTAAACATAATAGTTTACCTTGAAAACCTTCATAGAAAACACCGACTTTACGGTGTTTTCTATGAAGCTTTTCAAGGTAAACTAGTATGTTTAGTATGTCACATATGCACGTATCTAATTAGTCAATATTGACTATACGAAAGTGCGAGAACGGGTTGATATATTGGAACGGTAAATGACTATTTAGATCTTATTTGATAAATAAAATATGTACTTTTTTGGCTTAAAATTAAGTAAGAAATAATTTAAGTGCCTTTTTTTAAGTCAATTAACTGTGTTATATTATGAATCAGTGGTTAAAGCACTTCGTAATGACCCAATGGTTAATGTACATAGTTTAATTGATCGTCAACCTCTGTTGTGTATTGGGCCAGTACGTGTCTGTGTGGGTTACATCCCCGACCCGCACTCGCATCGCCCAGTGGAAGAAGGTTGACAACACGCCTGGTCTCCTGCACCTTGACTTCCACCTGGCAGATGAGCCAGAGAAGGTGAGGGAGAGTGAGAGAAGGTGAGAGACTGAGAGAAGGTGAGAGACTGAGAGAAGGTCAGAGAAGGTGAGAGACTGAGAGAAGGTGAGAGAAGGTGAGAGAAGGTGAGAGATTGAGAGAAGGTGAGAGGTTGAGAGAAGATGAGAGAGATTGAGAGAAGGTGAGAGATTGAGAGAAGGTGAAAGAAGGTGAGAGAAGGTGAAAGAAGGTGAGAGATTGAGAGAAGGTGAGAGAAGGTGAGAGAGATTGAGAGAAGGTGAGAGAGATTAAGAGAAGATGAGAGAGATTGAGAGAAGGTGAGAGAGATTGAGAGAAGGTGAGAGAAGGTGAGAGAGATTGAGAGAAGGTGAGAGAAGGTGAGAGAAGGTGAGAGAGATTGAGAGAAGGTGAGAGAGATTGAGAGAAGCTGAAAGAAGGTGAGAGATTGAGAGAAGGTGAGAGAGATTGAGAGAAGGTGAGAGAGATTGAGAGAAGGTGAGAGAGATTGAGAGAAGGTGAGAGAGATTGAGAGAAGGTGAGAGAGATTGAGAGAAGGTGAGAGATTGAGAGAAGGTGAGAGAGATTGAGAGAAGGTGAGAGAGATTGAGAGGTGAGAGAGATTGAGAGGTGAGAGAGATTGAGAGAAGGTGAGAGAGATTGAGAGAAGATGAGAGAGATTGAGAGAAGGTGAGAGAGATTGAGAGAAGGTGAGAGAGATTGAGAGAAGGTGAGAGAGTGAGAGAAGGTGAGAGAAGGTGAGAGAAGGTGAGAGACTGTGTCATGTGTCATGATACAGTCTCATGACATGACTATGTCATGTCTTCAGAGGAAGTATTGGTTCATTTCGGATTTGAACTTTTTAACAAAAATTGAAAATAATATAATGTATTTCATTTACTAACAGGGGTACCACCTCTGGTGCTAGTTTAGGGACCCATAGCCTCGGAGAAGAAAATAATGAGCACTCAGAGAAGACCTTGTGGATCCTCACTGAACACTTTGATATTTTCTTCCCCTATTCTTTTAGCATGTGTGTATATATATCTAACTTTAATTTATTTGTATATTCAAGAGTTCCTACATTCTTGAAGGAACTCTTGACGGTCTTCTTTTTTTTTTTTTTTTTTTTTGAGATATATACAAGAGTTGTTACATTCTTGTAGAGCCACTAGTACGCGTAGCGTTTCGGGCAAGTCCTTAATCCTATGGTCCCTGGAATACGATCCCCGCCGCGAAGAATCGTTTTTTCATCCAAGTACACATTTTACTGTTGCGTTAAACAGAGGTTACAGTTAAGGAATTGTGCCCAGTAAATCCTCCCCGGCCAGGATACGAACCCATGACATAGCGCTCGCGGAACGCCAGGCGAGTGTCTTACCACTACACCACGGGGACTGCTAATAGATTCGCGTCTATTGTGGTCAAGATAGCTAGTCTATCACAGTTTGATTTGTTTAGAATCTTGAATTTTGTCTTCAAAATGTATTAATGTATTATATTCATATAAAATGTATATATAAATGTATCAATATTTAGTATTATTGTATTAGATGGCATTTTCGGTTTGTCCAGGTCGAGTCTATCTACTGCCAGGGTAGCGCCCAGGGCCTAAAGTAATCAGGTAGTGTATTATACAACCATTAGTGGAATACACCTCGATGTGCAGGCGAGGAGTCACAATAACGTGGCTAAAGTATGTTGACAAGACCACACACTAGAAGGTGAAGGGACGACGACGTTTCTGTCCGTCCTGGACCATTCTCAATGACCACAATCGACTTAAGAATGGTCCAGGACGGAGCGAAACGTCGTCGTCCCTTCACCTTCTAGTGTGTGGTCTGGTCAACACCTCGATGGATGTTGTGTTTGTGTATAGGTCAAAATGTCAAAGAAATTGTTCTTAGAGTCTATACATGAGAGAAATATCCCTTCTTGAGGATATCTTGAGATGATTTCGGGGCTTTAGTGTCCCCGCGGCCCGGTCCTCGACCAGGCCTCCACCCCCCAGGAAGCAGCCCGTGACAGCTGACTAACACCCAGGTACCTATTTTACTGCTAGGTAACAGGGGCATAGGGTGGTTATCTTGAGATGATTTCGGGGCTTTAGTGTCCCCGCGGCCCGGTCCTCGACCAGGCCTCCACCCCCAGGAAGCAGCCCGTGACAGCTGACTAACACCCAGGTACCTATTTTACTGCTAGGTAACAGGGGCATAGGGTGAAAGAAACTCTGCCCATTGTTTCTCGCCGGCGCCTGGGATCGACCCCGGGACTACAGGATCACAAGTCCAGCGTGCTGTCCGTTCGGCCGACCGGCTCCCTGAAGAAGCTGTAATAAATATATTCCGTAACTTATTGACCTGAAGAGAGTTTTCGGACATGAGACCGTCCTCAGAGGGGCCTCGTAGCCTGGTGGATAGCGCGCAGGACTCGTAATTCTGTGGCGCGGGTTCGATTCCCGCACGAGGCAGAAACAAATGGGCAAAGTTTCTTTCACCCTGAATGCCCCTGTTACCTAGCAGTAAAATAGGTACCTGGGAGTTAGTCAGCTGTCACAGGCTACTTCCTGGGGGGTGGAGGCCTGGTCGAGGACCGGGCCGCGGGGACACTAAAGCCCCGAAATCATCTCAAGATAACCTCAAAAAGTACCTTAAAACCCCTATATCATTGAACCTACATGACTTGCTAACTACTGTCAATGGTAATTAGTGAACCTAAACAACCTGTTTAAAGCCTAAGTGACTAATCTTAGGCCTCGTATATGCTCTAACAACTTATAAAACAAACCTAGCTACTTGAGGCAGACGGTAGAGCAACGGTTTCGCTTCATGCAGGTTGGCGTTCAATCCCCCGATACCATCCACAAGTGATTGAGCACCATTCCTTTCCCACCATCCCATCCCATCCTAAATATCCTGGGGTCGGATTCATGAAAGCACTTACGAACCTGTCCATCTTTTCTCAATCTTTGGCGGCTTTGTTTACAATTATTAAACAGTTAATGAGCTCCGAAGCACCAGGAGGCTGTTTATAACAATAACAACAGTTGATTGGCAAGTTTTCATGCTTGTAAACTGTTTAATAAACGTAAAAAAAGCTTGAGGAAAGATGTACACGTTCGTAAGTACTTGCGTAACTGCTTCGTGAATCTGGCCCCAGGTTCGTAAGTGCTTGCGTAACTGCTTCGTGAATCTGGCCCCAGGTTCGTAAGTACTTGCGTAACTGCTTCGTGAATCTGGCCCCAGGTTCGTAAGTACTTGCGTAACTGCTTCGTGAATCTGGCCCCAGGTTCGTAAGTACTTGCGTAACTGCTTCGTGAATCTGGCCCCAGGTTCGTAAGTACTTGCGTAATTGCTTCGTGAATCTGGCCCCAGGTTCGTAAGTACTTGCGTAATTGCTTCGTGAATCTGGCCCCAGGTTCGTAAGTACTTGCGTAACTGCTTCGTGAATCTGGCCCCAGGTTCGTAAGTACTTGCGTAATTGCTTCGTGAATCTGGCCCCAGGTTCGTAAGTGCTTGCGTAACTGCTTCGTGAATCTGGCCCCAGGTTCGTAAGTACTTGCGTAACTGCTTCGTGAATCTGGGGTCTGACCCCCTTCCCAGTGCTATATAGTCGTAATGGCTTGGCGCTTTCATCCCTGTTAATCCCTTCCCTCCCAGTTAATCACCCGTTAATGACTGATGTGTTCTTCAGGGGATTTACACCATACAAGTCAAGACACAACAGGATAACACTGAACAACAGACCTTTAAGGTGGAAGAGTTTGTGCTGCCAAGATTCGAAGTGAAGATCAAGCCGCCTAAATACAGTTTGGCTTCAGATGAGGCTTTTACCTTTACTGTATGCGCAAGGTGAGGTATTGTATGCGCAAGGTGAGGTATTGTATGCGCAAGGTGAGGTATTGTATGGCGCCAGGTGAGGTATTGTATGGCGTCAGGTGAGGTATTGTATGCGCAAGGTGAGGTATTGTATGCGCAAGGTGAGGTATTGTATGGCGCCAGGTGAGGTATTGTATGGCGTCAGGTGAGGTATTGTATGCGCAAGGTGAGGTATTGTATGCGCAAGGTGAGGTATTGTATGGCGTCAGATGAGGTATTGTATGGCGTCAGGTGAGGTATTGTATGGCGTCAGGTGAGGTATTGTATGCGTCAGGTGAGGTATTGTATGGCGTCAGGTGAGGTATTGTATGGCGTCAGGTGAGGTATTGTATCGCGTCAGGTGAGGTATTGTATGCGTCAGGTGAGGTATTGTATGGCGTCAGGTGAGGTATTGTATGGCGCCAGGTGAGGTATTGTATGGCGTCAGGTGAGGTATTGTATGGCGTCAGGTGAGGTATTGTATGGCGTCAGGTGAGGTATTGTATGGCGTCAGGTGAGGTATTGTATGGCGTCAGGTGAGGTATTGTATGGCGCAAGGTGAGGTATTGTATGGCGTCAGGTGAGGTATTGTATGGCGCCAGGTGAGGTATTGTATGGCGTCAGGTGAGGTATTGTATGGCGTCAGGTGAGGTATTGTATGGCGTCAGGTGAGGTATTGTATGGCGTCAGGTGAGGTATTGTATGGCGTCAGGTGAGGTATTGTATGGCGTCAGGTGAGGTATTGTATGGCGTCAGGTGAACTACTGTATGGCGTCAGGTGAGCTACTGTATGCGTCAGGTGAGCTACTGTATGTGTCAGGTGAGTTACTGTATGCGTCAGGTGAGTTACTGTATGCGTCAGGTGAGTTACTGTATGCGTCAGGTGAGCTACTGTATGCGTCAGGTGAGTTACTGTATGCGTCAGGTGAGCTACTGTATGTGTCAGGTGAGTTACTGTATGCGTCAGGTGAGTTACTGTATGCGTCAGGTGAGTTAATGTATGCATCAGGTGAGCTACTGTATGTGTCAGGTGATCTATTGTATTTGTACCACCAACTGCATTCTTTTCACGTGGCCCAATGTTATTAATATATTCTACTTTATTCCGGGTTTTTAAGGAATGTTCTTCATAGTTCATGTTATAAACTTATTCTTACCAAATAGCTTCCACTCCCCATAATGGGGCCTGAACCACCCCCCCCCCCCCCCCATCTCAGCACAGGCTAAGGAAGCTCTATAATTAGTTTACAAGTCTAGGTATTAGTCACTTTAGGGAGGGAAAGCCAAAGGCACTACGGGCTCACCATAGCCCGTGCTACTTAGAACTTTTTGTTCCAAGTAGCGAATCTTTAACAACAACTTGTTAATGATTCAACCAGTATAATAGCCAATTAACGCAGAATACAATATACAGGAAAATTACTCTAATTGACGAGCTATTGAATTAATATATCCTGTATTGTGTGGGGGATAAACCAATGGTTGATTTATGAGTATTTAGAATGTATTTAATTGTATTACTTGTGGGTGGATGTATTTTTGTGATTTATCAGTAAACTTCCCATAATACAATTTTTTTTTGGGGGGAGGGGGTTATAAATTCAGTTGATTACACTGTAATGAGGCTGTTTGTATAATTTTTATCTACTCAACTGTAATTAGGTAGTTAGTAGCAATTCTACACACATGGGTTAGTTAGAATTATAAACTGTCTCAGCTGTTTATGTAGTGGTGGCTGGTCGTTCAACCTCAGACTCCCTCGGGTCGTGTTCTGAACGGGTACTGAACTGGGGCCAGATTCACGAAGCAGTTACGCAAGCACTTACGAACGTGTACATCTTTCCTCAATCTTTGACGGCTTTAGTTACATTTATTAAACAGTTTACAAGCATGAAAACTTGCCAATCAACTGTTGTTATTGTTATAAACAGCCTCCTGGTGCTTCGGAGCTCATTAACTGTTTAATAATTGTAAACAAAGCCGCCAGAGATTGAGAAAAGATGGACAAGTTCGTAAGTGCTTCGTGAATCTGGCCCCAGCTGGAGTGTACGTGTGCGCGCGCCTGGAGTGTGAAATTATGCATTCATACGCTCTTGAAATATTAAAAAATGACAAATACTGTAGCCTCTGCCTCTCTCTCCCGCAGCTATACCTTCGGCCAGCCCGTCCGGGGTAACTTATCCTTCACAGTCGACAACAAGAACAGAAATAAGTGTCTCGCTAAAGTGACTAAAAATCTTGCGGTAAGTAACCGCCCAATTGGACGACTTCCACCCACCCCCCCCCCCCACCCCCACCCTCTTTACTACAATGTTATGTAATAGGCAGTTAACTTTGTAATTAATATAACTGGGGTCCCGAGTCTGTTGTCGACTCACGATCGAGGGGGCTGCAGGTTCGATTCCCGGACAGACAGATCTGGCACGTTTCTGTCACCTGATGACTCTGTTCACCTATCAGTAAAGATGTATCTAGGCGTTGGACAGCTGTTGTGAGGGCCCCACACTGGACAACGGAGAACTCCCTCGACAACAGACCCTTCCCCCCCCCCCCTCCCGGGCAACAGGGCACTCCCGCCTTGACTGATCCTTCGGGCAAATATCCTTGACTGATTAACCCTGGCTTGTCTCGGAGAGGCTGCAGGATCCAAGTAAGTTAGGCACAGCTTCTGGTTTCAACTCTTTTGACCATGTCGTAGCTCAGTCGCGATTAAGGCAGCGTCTGGGATGCTCTCGGACGTAGGTTCGAATCCTCGACACGGCCCTTGTGGATTTGTTCCCTGACTGATCTTTCTGGCAATACCCATATTTAGCTACTCAGAACGAAATGTCCATGTAGCACGGGCTATGGTGATCCCGTAAGGCACAACCGGCTTGTTTTCACTGTTCATAATTTCACAGATATCCGGCTGCAGTGAAGTGACGGTGACATCAGAGGAGATGAAAGTTACTAACTGCAGAGTACACAGCCTAGACGCCACCGCCCGGGTGGTCGAGGCGGGTACTGGAGTGGAGATAACAGCTGAATCTCCCTATTTCCCCATCACCCGAACGGCTGTCATCTTCAAGACACTCTACGAGGACAAATACGTCAGGCCTAACCTTCCCTACATTCTCAAGGTTAGCTGGCACAAGCTAATTTTGTATAGAAAATTGTATACAAAAATCTTTCTTATTTTGTGTATATCGTTTTGAATAGCCTCATAAATCCTATGTTATTGAATCTTCCTTTTGTTAATATAATTTAACATTCGAGATACTTTGTATATTCATATGTTCACGTTTTAAATAAAATCAAATAATTTTTTTACGGTACAATCATGTCAGCTTTTTGCGTCTTTCTAGAGCTTGTAAAGTTTAATTTGTTTACAAAAAAGGGTTGTAAATCATGAGAATTATGTTCGTTATCCTCTGTATGCGTTCAACGGAAATTTTGTCCATTGTTTATCGCGGAAAGGAAAATTAAGCTGCATCATAGGCTTCGAGCCTAACACCAAAGAAAATCATGTTAGTTACTGTATGAAGCGGCGTGATATGCCTTCGTGGCGGGCTCAAAGCTTCCTTCCTTACGTGCCTATGCATATCCTGCCCCTCTCTCTATCTCTCTCTCTCTCTATCTCTATCTCTCTCTCTCTCTCTCCTGCAGCTACGAGCGGAGCTGCCAGATGGTTCTCCTGCAGGTGGTGTGCCGGTGGAGGTGTGTGCATCTGGCAGGTGTAACAACATGACAACAGCGCCAGACGGACTCTTCACAACCATCCTGCCTTCCTACAACACAAACAGGGTCTTCGTAAGTCTCTATTTCCACCACTGACTGCATGTCGCCATGTACAAACGATTCGTTGTATATGTAAATAGTATATGTATTTCGTTGTTACGTAGTGTGTATGTATCTAGGAAGACAGCAAAGGAACGATTAGAGGAAGAGTAGACAGCTGGCAAATATGTGCCTCTGTGCTTGGCAGATACCTGAATTATCCCCTACTCTCGGTCAAGCAGGTGTCGTTTGACCGCCCACAGGCAAACAGTCAAGTCCAACAGGTACAGGCAGACAGATCGTCGATACAACATTGTCCCTGTTGGATCTGGAACCCATTGAATCATGGGGAAAGGGAGAAACGCCCCTATGGCGTTCATATGTGTCGTTTTGAATAGCCTCATAAATTATGTTATTAAATCCTCCTTTTGCTAATATAATTTAACATTCGAGATACTTTGTAAATTCATATATTCCTCACCTTTGTACCCGTAGTTAATATCGCGAAAGATTAATGATGTTGTTGATATCTTCAGATGAAAACTTTAAACTGCCGAGCGATGATGGATCAGTCATCGTTCACCAAGGACTTGGAGCACTACTTCTCGCCCTCCAACTCGTCCCTGTTGATCCACGCCCCGGAGGGCAAGCTTAAATGTGCCTCCGGAGAGGGCCAAGACCTCCTCCTGCCTGTCTTCTTCTCCGCCTCCGGCCAGACGTCCGCCATCTTCACTGTCCAGGTATGTCACTGCCTGGAGGATCAGCCAGAGGCTAGAGAAACCTGTGCGAGCCAGATTCACGAAGCAGCTACGCGAGTACTTACGAACGTGTACATCTTTCCTCAATCTTTGACGGCTTTGGTTACATTTATTAAACAGTTTACAAGCATGAAAACTTGCCAATCAATTGTTGTTATTGTTATAAATAGCCTCCTGGTGCTTCGGAGCTCATTAACTGTTTAATAATTGTAAACAAAGCCGCCAAAGATTGAGAAAAGGTGGACAGGTTCGTAAGTGTTTGCGTAACTGCTTCGTAAAACTGACCCGAGTCGAGATTAGGCTTCACCCCACACAGCCCTAAATCTAAAAATCTAAAACAAATTCTAAATCTAAAACAAATTCACCCCAGAGCTGGTGAAAGGGATAGAAACCCTTGTGTCTAAATATCCCTAGCCTCTAAATACCCCTGTGTGACGAGGCTACTAGCCTCTAAATACCCCTGTGTGACGAGGCTACTAGCCTCTAAATACCCCTGTGTGACGAGGCTACTAGCCTCTAAATACCTCGTGTGACGAGGCTACTAGCCTCTAAATACCCCTGTGTGACGAGGCTACTAGCCTTGAGTGCCACGGTACTATTAACAACCTCGAACCATTGCCACAGGTTGTGTCGCGAGGAAAAGTGCAGTACATGAGCAGCAAGGAGTACCAGCTGAGCAGTGGGGAGCTGCCCATTAATGTGGAGCACCTGGTGGAGCCTCTTCCCCCTCCCCTTCCTAACACCACCAGGGGAGTCGTTAACATCAAGGTCAACATCCCCCTAACTGCCTCTCCAAAAGTCAAGGTTCGTATAGCACACGTAGAAATATTTTAAATGTTGTTTGAAGACACTTGTTCCATCTCATCCATATTTAGGACAGTTTCGCATCTGTGGAAACAAAATTTTAACATAATAAGAAGGTTAGGTTAGGTTGTGATTTTCTATTTAGCATTTCAAGGTAAACTCAAATATTCACAATGAATTAGTGTGTCACATATGCACTTATGAATAAGCAAGATATTGACTATAAGAAAGTGCGAGAACGGGTTGCAATTCCAGTGTAGGTTATATCCCAGAAGGATTGATTGTCATTTGTGTTTGAGAAAGAGTCAGCGGTAGCCTCTCAGATCGCCCTGTCCTGATAGAACGTCGCATTTTGACGTATACTCAACCTAAGGGTAAAAATCGTCGTACTTGAAAAATAGAAGCGGCTCGCGAAATTGACGTACTGTCCCGTTTTCTGTTTTGGGTCCTCTGTTAGGGTATGATAAGGGCACTTTAGTACGACAATTTCTTGACGTAGGGAAATCTTAGGCGGACGGGCTGCTCAAATGGCCTACTGATATATGTATGGATGACAGTGATGCCCAGTAGTAGTATGCTGATATTCCCAAGAGAGGAGAAGAAGAAATTTGGCCCCTGAGGAAGAAATCCTAAAGCCTCAGAAGAGACACTTGTCTCGTATGTACACCTGTAAGACACAGATGAACAAATCCACAAGGGCCGTGACGAGAATTCGAACCTGCGTCCGGGAGCATCCCAGACACTGCCTTAATTAATCGACTGAGCTGCGACAGGGTTAAAAAGAGTTGAAACCGAAGTTCTACTGAACTTACTGGATCCTGCAGCCTCTCCGAGACACAAACCAGGGTTTTACACAACTCCCCCCTACACTCGAGCTATGTCAATAGGCCGTTCTCCCTCTTCGCCATTACATCATTACACGCAGAAAACTTTCAGTGTGTAAAGACCCAGGGGCCGGATTCAGGAAGGTACTTACGAAGGTTTTTCCTCTTAGCTCAGAACGTTTTCCTTCTTAGCGCCTTCGTGGCGGCTACGGCGGTATTCAAGTAGCTACACTAAGTGGAAAAACCTTCGTAAGTTCATTCCGGGATTTAAGTGCAGATGTTCTACCGCAATACTGTGTTACAGGTGCTGGTGTGGTACACCCGTGAGGACGGAGAGGTTGTGGCGGACACCAGGGAGCTGGAGGTGGAGAAGTGCTTGGGAAATACAGTGAATCTCGCCTGGTCAGCGTCGCGGGCTCAGCCTGGGCATGAGGCTTCTCTCTCGCTCTCCACGGAGCCAAACTCCTTCTGTAGCCTGGGTAAGTAAACTCTGAAATATAATATTTAATATAAACAAATAAATGTTTATTAGGGTAGAACCATTTAATGAACACACAAAACAGCCTTCACAGTCCACTTGTGAATGATTTGACATTAAAATTAGCGATGTAAAAGCAACTTTTTAAACATTTTGTGTGTGTGTGTGTAAAATAATATAATGTATATAGTATTAAATATAAAAATAATTGTTGAATAGAGTAAAAACAGTCAAAGAACACACACAAAACAGCCTTCAAAATAGACTTGCGAATGATTTGACATTCAAATTAGCAATATAATCCAACATTTTCGTGTATATATTTTGCCTCTCACTAAACAACTATTATCTCCCAACCCTCCCAGGTGTGGTGGACAGGAGTTCTGAACTGTTAATGAAGAACCATGATCCCATAACTCTGGAAAGTCTGTTCCAATTCACATCAGGATTTGAGATTCAGCCGTGGGTCAACTCCCAGATCAACACACGCACTTACTGCCAAGAGAAGAACCAGATGTACATGGAAACAGATGATGGGGCACGATATCTTATAAGTTAGTTCCAGATCTCTTGTTAGGAACTGTTATTCAGTTCTTTTCCAAACAAGAACAGTTCGACTGAAACGTAGCAGGAACATTGAACAAACACCAAAAGTTCAATGTTTCATATACGTATTGAACAAACTCCCAAAAGTTCAAACTTTCATATGATACGCATTGAACAAACCCCCAAAAGTTCAAACTTTCATATGATACGCATTGAACAAACCCCAAAAAATTCAAGTTTTCATATAATACGCATTTAACAAACCCCCAAAAGTTCAAACTTTCATATAATACGCATTTAACAAACCCCCAAAAGTTCAAACTTTCATATGATACGCATTGAACAAACCCCAAAAGTTCAAGTTTTCATATAATACGCATTTAACAAACCCCCAAAAGTTCAAACTTTCATATAATACGCATTTAACAAACCCCCAAAAGTTCAAACTTTCATATAATACGCATTTAACAAACCCCCAAAAGTTCAAGCTTTCATATAATACGCATTTAACAAACCCCAAAAATTGCATAAGTTAATAATACATCATTTTCACGTTGATTACTGTTGTATTTATTTGTTCATACTGATTGTTCTTGTATTTATTTGTTTCAGTTGGTCCACCAGTCTATTACTACAGCGATTACGTTGACGCGATAACTATGTTTAGTGTAAGTCTTGTCTAAGTGGTTCCCCTTTGTTATATTGTCTGGGTAATGTAGAGTAGGATTCTACATCTTTTATGATTAGGAGTCTACCTCTTTTATGATTAGGATTCTTCCTCTTTTATGATTAGGAGTCTACATCTATTATGATTAGGATTCTGCCTCTTATGATTAGGATTCTTCTTCTTTTATGATTAGGATTCTACATCTATTATGATTAGGATTCTACCTCTTATGATTAGGATTCTTCCTCTTTTATGATTAGGATTGTACCTTTTTATGATTAGGAGACTACCTCTTATGATTAGGAGTCTACCTTTTTATGATTTTGATTCTACTCTTATGATTAGAATTCTACCTTTTTATGATTAGGAATCTACTTCTATGATTAGAATTCCACGTGTTTTATTATTTGGATTATACCTCTTTTATGATTAGGATTCTACCTCTTTTATGATTAGAATTCTACATATTTTATGATTAGGAGTAAATAACGTCTGATTAGGAGGAAATAACGTCTGATTAGGAGAAAATAACGTCTGATTAGGAGAAAATAACGTCTGATTAGGAGAAAATAACGCCTGATTAGGAGGAAATAACGTCTGATTAGGAGTAAATAACGTCTGATTAGGAGGAAATAACGTCTGATTAGAAGAAAATAACGTCTGATTAGGAGAAAATAACGTCTGATTAGGAGGAAATAACGTCTGATTAGAAGAAAATAACGTCTGATTAGGAGGAAATAATGTCTGATTAGAAGAAAATAACGTCTGATTAGGAGGAAATAACGTCTGATTAGAAGAAAATAACGTCTGATTAGGAGGAAATAACGTCTGATTAGAAGAAAATAACGTCTGATTAGAAGAAAATAACGTCTGATTAGAAGAAAATAACGTCTGATTAGGAGGAAATAACGTCTGATTAGAAGAAAATAACGTCTGATTAGGAGGAAATAACGTCTGATTAGGAGGAAATAACGTCTGATTAGAAGAAAATAACGTCTGATTAGGAGAAAATAACGTCTGATTAGGAGAAAATAACGTCTGATTAGGAGGAAATAACGTCTGATTAGGAGAAAATAACGTCTGATTAGGAGGAAATAACGTCTGATTAGACGTGTTGAGATGTAAGTCTGGTCCTAATCACTCTGGAGAGTGTGAAAGACTTGATATAAATTGTTTACATGAATTTCCCAAATATTCAAGTTTGTGGGTTTTTGTTCCTAACTTAATACAATCTGCACATAGCATTTTATACACATAAATTGCAAGTTTGAGTATATATAAAATTTCTGGGGAATTTTTAATCAGTATGCTACAATAAGATTCTTAAAATGCTACATTGATTTTTCAGTTTGTAGTGATTTAGGAATTTGATTAAATGTATCATGATATGGGAGAATGTTAGCATTCTTTACATTGTATTATTTTCGTCCAAACTAAAGAATGTATTAATAGGAGAATATTTAGATTAGATTTTTTTATTCAGGTAAAGGCACATGCATTGAGTTACATAGATAATGTTGGATTTAAAGATAGAGATAGTACATACAATGCCTAAAGCCTAGCATTTACAGTACGCATAGCATTTCAGGCAAGGAATTTTATATATATATATATATATATATATATATATATATATATATATATATATATATATATATATATATATATATATATATATATATATATATATATATATATATATATATATATATATATATATATATATATATATATATATATATATATATATGTCGTACCTAGTAGCCAGAACTCACTTTTCAGCCTACTATGCAAGGCCCGATTTGCCTAATAAGCCTAGTTTTCATGAATTAATTGTTTTTCGACTACCTAACCTACCTAACCTAACCTAACCTAACTTTTTCGGCTACCTAACCTAACCTAACCTATAAAGATAGGTTAGGTTAGGTTAGGTAGGGTTGGTTAGGTTCGGTCATATATCTACGTTAATTTTAACTCAAATAAAAAAAATGACCTCATACATAATGAAATGGGTAGCTTTATCATTTCATAAGAAAAAAATTAGAGAAAATCTATTAATTCAGGAAAACTTGGCTTATTAGGCAAATCGGGCCTTGGATAGTAGGCTGAGAAGTGAGTTCTGGCTACTAGGTACGACATATATATATATATATATATATATATATATATATATATATATATATATATATATATGTCGTACCTAATAGCCAGAACGCACTTCTCAGCCTACTATTCAAGGCCCGATTTGCCTAATAAGCCAAGTTTTCCTGAATTAATGTTTTTTCGTCTACCTAACCTACCTAACCTAACCTAACCTAGCTTTTTTTGGCTACCTAACCTAACCTTACCTATAAATATAGGTTAGGTTAGGTTAGGTAGGGTTGGTTAGGTTCGGTCATATATCTACGTTAATTTTAACTCCAATAAAAAAAAATTGACCTCATACATAATGAAATGGGTAGCTTTATCATTTCATAAGAAAAAAATTGGAAAAAATATATTAATTCAGGAAAACTTGGCTTATTAGGCAAATCAGGCCTTGAATAGTAGGCCAAAAGGTGAGTTCTGGCTACTAGGTACGACATATATATATATATATATATATATATATATATATATATATATATATATATATATATATATATATATATATATATATATATGAATTATATTTATTGATATAATGTGATGTCTTCCAGGACGCAGGAGTGTATGTATTTAGTGATAAAACTCTAGAGACAAGACCGTGTGAAGAACAAGTTTCAAGTAAGAATTAACTTATTTAACCTGTTTTATTGTATAATTAATACACACTTTAACGCGTTAAACCCTTTGACCGTGTTCAATTACAAAAAAACTAACACGTCATACGACTTAGGTTTCAAGTTATAAATAATTTAACCATGTTGTATATAACTTTATTATTGACTTCCTCTAGTGGCATAACCTTTAAAAATTATAACATGTATATATACTAGGGACTTGACCAGGCAGTCATATTGGTATTATTTTTGGATATAAATTGGGTTGACTTGAATGAAATTGGTGGAGTGTGAGAATCAGTTTCCAGTGACCCAGATTCACGAAGCATTTACGCAGCACTTACGAACCTGGGGCCAGATTCACGAAGCATTTACGCAGCACTTACGAACCTGGGGCCAGATTTACGAAGCGGTTACGCCAGCACTTACGAACCTGTCCATCTTTTCTCAATCTTTGGCGGCTTTGTTTACAATTATTAAACAGTTAATGAGCTCTGAAGCACCAGGAGGCTGTTTATAACAATAACAACAGTTGATTGGCAAGTTTTCATGCTTGTAAACTGTTTAATAAATGTAACCAAAGCCGTCAAAGATAGAGGAAAGATGTACACATTCGTGAGGAAAAAATCTCTTTCTCTCTCTCTCTTAAGTGTGTTAACTGATGCTTAAGTGCATCTTAATTAACTTTGCCCTGTCCTACGGTCGAAAATTCTCGTCTCATTATAATAATTCATCGTGAAGCGGGACAAGAAGCCAGAGTGTATATATATTCATACGCGTTAGGCTTATCATACCCCCGACATGTGTGTGTCTAGAAATAACTTGTTTCTAGCATTTAACAAATACAGTATTTAACTTTTAACATTTCTAGCTGTGGTGTGTTAAATAATATTATTACTAATGCTTAACTCTGGTAGATTTTTATTTAACTTTGAAATACTTAAAATAGGATTTTAGGGTTGTAGAAGCCTAGGATTCTACCCATAAATCTGCCTATACATTTTTACCTTTTTAAAATTTGAAAATAAGTTTTCCTTGCTATCTTTCCAGGACATTATTACAGTGAGAGCCATTACGGCGCCCCTCTATCTGGCATGTCTGGCATGAGTATGAACAGGAAAGCTTCAGTGTCGAGTGACAGTATAAGTTACAGCCAGCGGACCCATGGGGAGTCGCCAGACGTAGAGGCCGCGCCCAGGAGCGATTTCCCCGAGACCTGGCTCTGGGATACCCTTGTAGTACCGTAAGTTTTATAAATTCTAACCATGTTGTTCCGTCCGCTATGGGGTTTACGGTACAGTGGGTCGTTGGTACACTTACTGAAGTAAGGGCTAAGAAGTAGAATAGGCTATTGACAGAGCTCCGGTGCATGGGAAATTGTGTAAAAACCCTGGTAAATGTATTTAGATTTTAACATTTATCATACAGAATATATATTTTTGCTATCATAATGTTTATTGTGCATTACGGTGGTATTATGAGGGTAGTTTAACGTGTATGGATATTCCAACAGATCTTCAGGAGTGAGCACCTTGGACCTGACTCTTCCAGACACCATCACAGAGTGGGTGGGCAAGGCCGTGTGCGCCCACCCACAGAAGGGCGTGGGGCTGTCCCAGAGGGAAACTATCACCTCCTTCACTCCCTTCTTCGTCGACCTGACCCTCCCCCCCACTATCAAGCGTGGAGAGATCCTTCCAGTCAAGATGTCTGTCTTCAACTACCTCGACCAACCAATTCCTGTAAGTTTGGCTTAGTCTACCAGTAGGTGTAAGTCTGGTTCAGGCAACCAGTAGCTGTAAGTCTGTCTCAATCAACCAGTAGCTGTAAGTCTGGCTCAGTCAACCAGTAGCTGTAAGTCTGGCTCAATCAACCAGTAGCTGTAAGTCTGGCTCAGTCTACCAGTAGCTGTAAGTCTGTCTCAATCAACCAGTAGCTGTAAGTCTGGCTCAGTCAACCAGTAGCTGTAAGTCTGTCTCAATCAACCAGTAGCTGTAAGTCTGGCTCAGTCTACCAGTAGCTGTAAGTCTGTCTCAATCAACCAGTAGCTGTAAGTCTGGCTCAGTCAACCAGTAGCTGTAAGTCTGGCTCAATCAACCAGTAGCTGTAAGTCTGGCTCAGTCTACCAGTAGCTGTAAGTCTGGCTCAGTCAACCAGCAGGTGTAAGTCTGTCCTTCTACCAGTAGCTGTAAGTCTGGCTCAGTCAACCAGTAGCTGTAAGTCTGTCTCAGTCTACCATTAGCTGTAAGTCTGGCTCAGTCAACCAGTACTTGTAAGTTTGTCTCAGCCAACCAGTACCCATAAGTCTGGCTCAACCAGACTTAAGACAGAAATCAAAGGCCTTAGTGATTCTCAGGCGACATAACTGAACAGGGCCTTCTGTTCAATGGATAAATTGAACAAGATAAATGTCCTTCCTTCGGGTGACATAGTGAACAAGATGAACAATATTTTGTCTGGGAGAAACAAGGAACTGATTGCTTATCTCTCTCTTGGTGGGTATGATAATGGCAGTAGAAGTAAGGAACCAATTGACAGATTAAAAGTACCACTTGATATGATTTGGAAAAGAAGATTGTCATCGTATATGCAGGGTTTTTTTAGGGTTGTGAGTTATTAAAACCAGTTTTTAGTGCACAGTGTGTACAGAGAAGATCAAGCCAATCTACCCAGTGGATCAAAAATAAACAATGCATCATTCACAAAGCGCTTGAAAAAATGTAAATAAAGAATTCGCAAGACTTTACTATATCTAATAAAATCATTTATACGCTCATTATTTTGTTATAATTGCTTAATATTAACGTACTTTCTGGTCCTGTTTGTCTTCGTGTAGGTGACTGTAGAAGTGAGAGAGAGTGCCGAGTACGAGATCGTGGACGAGGCAGGGAAGCGAAGCTCTTGTCTACCAGCCCAGGACAAAGTCGTCCATACCGTCAGGATCAAGCCCCGGGAGATCGGGGAGGTCAACATCACGGTGGCAGCGTTCGTAGACCACGATTACTCCGAGCCCTGTGGCTCTGGGGGCACCTCTATCGACAGAAGGTCAGTGAAATCAGTAACTTTGTTAGTTGCCATCCAAGACATATTAACCCTTAGAGTGCGGCTAACGTCATATGACGTTTTATATTTATTTGAGGCAGCGTTCACGGAGAATTAGTACCCAGAGTCGCTGTGACTCTGGAGACACCTCTATCGACAGAAGGTTAGTGAAATCAGTAACTTTGTTACTTGCCAGCCAAGGCATATTAACCCTTAGAGTGCGGCTAACGACATATGACGTTTTATATTCATTTGAGGCAGCGTTCACGGAGAATTAGTACCCAGAGTCGCTGTGGCTCTGGAGACACCTCTATCGACAGAAGGTTAGTGAAATCAGTAACTTTGTTACTTGGCATCCAAGACATATTAACCCTTAGAGTGCGGCTAACGACATATGATGTTTTATATTCATTTGAGGCAGCGTTCATGGAGAATTAGTACCCAGAGTCGCTGTGGCTCTGGGGACACCTCTATTGACAGGTCAGTGAAATGAGTAACTTTGTTACTTGCCAGCCGATGCATATTAACCCTTAGAGTGCGGCTAACGTCATATGACGTTTTATATTCATTTGAGGCAGCAAAATAATCACTGTTGCTGTGTTAAGGCCTGAAACCTCGTGTCTTGCGACTGTTAGACTGAAATAACTTTTTCCTTTGAAGAGACCGGCATGTTCACACTCCCTCGACCATTCCATAACATTAAACAGTATTGTCCATCATTTGACAACGTTCTTGAACAATTCATGTTATTTTTTTCGTTTAATATTCTTTACCTCGTTAAATATATAAATAACATAACTGGATTATTTTTACTTAGGCCCAAAAAGCCATTTATGGCCAAAACTGTCTCACGTTTTTATTTTATTCCTGGTATGTTGACAAGTATGATAACTTCCTGAATTGTAAATTGCTTCTGTGAGGTTTTGAGAGCTGTCTTCCCTGGTGATCAAGACTGTGTTGTAGTTTTGAAAATAATACGCCCAATTTTGGTAGCTATAATGAGTTTACAAAACTAACTGGTTAACTAATATATATTTCCAGAGACGCTCTGATCAAGGGCATCAAGGTTGAGGCAGAGGGCTTCCTAAGGGAGGTGGCCCTAACCAAGTACATCTGCTCCACAGGTGAGTATGATCAGAGACCCTGACTAAAATGGGAAGATCCTCCATGACAGAGGCACCCCTTGTGGTATTTTTAAACTTTCTGACTTCCTAAAGATCTAACTATATTTAAGTTTACCTTAGAATTTACCTACTTAGAATTATCTGTTAGATTAAGGACCTCTGCCCGAAACGCTGCGCGTACTAGTGGCTTTACAAGATTGTAAATACCATGCTATGTATTCTCACAAACCCAATGTACCTTCTTGTATATAAATAAATAAACTACTTACATAACAGTAACTTAGCTTTCTACAGTGACAGTAGTCATATCCAGTGGCCGCTAGGAAACTGTTGCTTTCTTCAAATTCAAAATTTAAAATTCAAATTCGTGGGGTAGTGGACTGTATCTATTCGGTGTGATCTTAAATGACTCAGTTTAAGGATGGTCCAATAGGAATGGTGCTGTTTTCATTTACCTGTCGAATGAAAGTCACTACTTTACCATTTTGTAAACAAAATGAGATTATATAATAATACACCGATGCGGTTACAAATTATTTTAGCCTATCCTTTTGATTTGGTATCTTGCCTCACGTGAATTATAGAGAATAACACGATTATTTAATTATTGCTATGAATTTATCTATTGCAAATGTATAATTTATCTTAAAGCAATTGCAATATATATCAAATATTTTTTAAATATTGATTAACCTAGTTAGTATATTTTTATTTCAGTGGCAAGTAATTTACCTATTGAGGTAATTTGCCTAATTGCACCTGCAGTTAATGGGGTTAATGACACAATGATAATGGATACAATTTCTATTATACTACAATACCACCACCAACCTCCCTTATTTTTTTTAAATGCAGGTACAGAGCTCAGTCTTATTGGGCTAAGACTTGAAATATGTAATGATATTTTCTCCTTTATTTCTGACCAGACTTGGAGACGGGGGAGGACTCTTTAGACTCGTGGGAGCTGGTGACCCCAGAGGTCATCGTGGAGGGGTCAGAGCGAGCCTGGGTCACAGCTGGAGGTGACCTTCTGGCTCTCTCCCTAGAGGTACTCTCCTCCTCTTGTGTACTCTCTGTTAGTACTATGTTTGTTGACAACCTGTGAGACCCCACCAGGGCCTTATAATTAGTGACCCCAGGATCTAATAGTCTGGGACCCCAGGATCTGATTGTCTGGTTCCCAATGCACAACCGCTTCTATACTGCCTAGGGACTGAACCCCGGTGCCTTGGTTGCAAGCAGAGGATGTAGACCACTGTGCTACAGGATCGTCACACTTAATGAAGTGGGTTTCATGTATCACACTGCTGTATCTCTGCTGTATCACATATGCTAAAATCTCTTTGACAGTTTCATTCGCCTGGGCTCTTGGAGATTTGAACCATGAACCCTCATGCGTGTGTGAAGCCGAAATTCTATCGACTAGGCTATGAGTAGTCTTAATAAGGAAATAAGTAGTGATAATAAGTCTTAATAGCCTTTTTCTATTGTCAATTACGCAGAACCTGGGCCACCTGATCCGAATGCCGTACGGGTGCGGGGAACAGAATATGATCAACTTTGTGCCTAATATCTTCATCATGCAGTATCTGAAGGCGTCTAGACAAGCCACCCCGGAGAGTACCGCCAAGCTCCTCTCTTTCATGAAGACAGGTAATCCATGTTGTTGTTGTTCAACATTCAGGAACAAAAAGTTCCAAGTAGCACGGGCTATGGTGAGCCCGTAGTGGCACAGGAGCGAGGCTGTAATTTTGAAATACTCGACCTGTACTTTGTTTACAAAGGTCCTGGATTCACGAAGCAGTTACGCAAGCACTTACGAACCTGTACATCTTTCCTCAATCTTTGGCGGCTTTGTTTACAATTATTAAACAGTTAATGAGCCCCGAAGCACCAGGAGGCTGTTTATAACAATAATAACAATTGAGTGGGAAGTTTTCATGCTTGTAAACTGTTCAAGTCAAAGGTACCCTTGATTGTTATGCTGGAACACGGCAGACCTCTGCTGACGCCGGCAGGCGTCAGCTAACACCGGCAAACGTCTGCTGACGCCAGAAGACGTCAGCAAACACCGGCAGACGTCAGCTGACACTGGCAGACGTCTGCTGAAGCTAGCAAACGTCTGCTGACGCTGGCAGACGTCTGCTGACGCTGGGAGACGTCTGCTGACACCAGCAGCTCTGAATCATCTCCTCTGGCCTACAAGGAACGCTTTCAAGGGTGTTTCAACTTTCCGTAAACATTAATTTACATTTATCAAAATGAAACAAATGACTTACCATCAATCTCGGTACTTCACTTGAACAATACGTAAACATCACTGATGTCTCTGTTGATGTCTGTAGGGTACCAGAGGGAGCTGCTGTACCTTAGGTACGACGGCTCCTTCAGCGCCTTCGGCAATGCTGACGCCTCAGGGTCTACGTGGCTTACTGCCTTCGTCCTGAAGTCATTCGCTCAGGCCGAGGAGTTTATCCTTGTGAGTATACTGTGTCTTCATCAGTGTGGTGTTTATTGGTGTTCTGTGTACTGTATCTGGGTTTTCTTTCTTAGGTTTTTTTAACATGCACACAGAGCAATCTTTCATCCCTACAGCATATACACAGTTTAGTAAAACCTTTCCATTCGTTTATACCGAAATATACTTCTTTTACAAATAATTTCCGGTTGTTAGACTTCTAACGGTCATTGAGTGTATTTTGAATTTTTGAATTTTGTATATTTCTCCATTTTTGACCACTACAGATTGACAGGAAGCGTGTGAACAAGACCAGCAGCTGGCTCAGGAAGCATCAAGGTTTTGACGGCTGCTTTTCGTCTGTTGGAACAGTCTTCAGCAAAGCCATGAAGGTAGGGTGGGTGAGGTTCCTGGTCGCTGTGAGAGTTTCAGCGCCCGCCATTAGGCTGGTTGTGGGTGAGGTTCCTGGTCGCTGTGAGAGTTTCCCCGCGCGCCATTAGACAGGGTGTGGGTGAGGTTCCTGGTCGCTGTGAGAGTTTCAGCGCCCGCCATTAGGCTGGTTGTGGGTGAGGTTCCTGGTCGCTGTGAGAGTTTCCCCGCGCGTCATTAGACAGGGTGTGGGTGAGGTTCCTGGTCGCTGTAAGAGTTTGCACGCGCGCCATTAGGCAGGGTATATGTGAGGCTTCTGGTCGCTGTGAGTTTCAGCGCGTGCCATTAGGCAGGGTGTGGGTGAGGTTTCTGGTCGCTGTGAGAGTTTGAACGCGCGCCATTGCTATTGAAGATAGCGGAACGATGCAATTAGGACAGTTATTGACAATTGATTTATCTTTAAAACATAAATTGGTCATAAATGATGATAGCTAATCTAATTATAGCATATTTTACGTGGTTCGGTGTTGGGTTTAAGGCCTATCAACCGCTGGTGGGTAATTAAGCCCACCACAATAGCCTAAGTACTGGCCAACTAGAAGTATATTTTAGCCCTGAACGTTGTGCAGGACTATAGTATACTGTGTGTATATATATATATATACACTGAGTGGCAGGTCTGAATCCCAACACAAACTAGCCTAATCAAGGCCACGCCAATCACTAATTACTCAAACTGATACATAGTCTGCCCCTGCTCAGATACAATAGATTCGTATTTCATTTTTACCTAAGAAAATTAAATGTTTATAGAATGTATTCTTTTGTTGTTGAATATGACCGAAAAAGTAAGATTAATTTATTGATTTATTGATTTATATATAAGAAGGTACATTGGGTTTGTGAGAATACATAGCAGAGTATTTACAATCTTGTAAAGCCACTAGTACGCGCAGCGTTTCGGGCAGGTCCTTAATCTAACAGATAATTTTAAGGAGGTAAATTCTAGCAGAATTAATAAAATTCATAAAATAAATAAAATTAAAAAATAATTAATAATTCTAACACGAATTTTTTCAATGTTTATGTTTTTCTTCACTGTCGGTGGTAATAAAAAATATCAATTCTTTTTATTACCACCGACAGTGAAGAAAAACATAAGAAACAGTGAAAAAAATCGTGTTAGAATTATTAATCTTACTTTTTTCGGTCATATTCAGCAACATATGTTTACAAGAAAGACTGCTACCAAAATATACTAATATTAGAATGTATTCTATACACATCTTAAATTTTCTATACACATCTTTAATATAGAGTATAGTGTATTCTTGTATGTCAACCAGGGGGGCATTGGTGAGAGGAAGAGCGCTGTTCCTCTCACAGCCTACGTTGCTATATCACTCCTGGAAGCCGGCGAGGGCCTCACAGCTGACGAAGACCGCTGCAACTCTACGAAATGCCAGATCTCCCACTGTCTTGTGACCGACACGTCGTTGGACCCTTACACCCTGGCCCTCAAGGCCTACGCTCTCGCCTTGGCCAAGCTGCCCGAGGCCGAGGTTGTCCTCCAGCAACTGCTCGACCAGGCGGTTGTGGCCAAGAACTCTACATACTGGCAGCTGCCTAAGGGATCAGGTATGACTTCGGGCCAGATTCACGAAGCATTTACGCAAGTACTTACGAACGTGTACATCTTTCCTCAATCTTTGACGGCTTTGGTTACATTTATTAAACAGTTTACAAGCATGAAAACTTGCCAATCAACTGTTGTTATTGTTATAAACAGCCTCCTGGTGCTTCGGAGCTCATTAACTGTGTAATAATTATAAACAAAGCCGCCAAAGATTGAGAAAAGATGGACAGGTTCGTAGGGGTTTCTCCATAATTTTAAAATAGTTATCCCATATAACCAAAACAAACTTAACATTGTATAATGTCTTCACTCTCAAGGAGTTCTTATGTAGTGTTGTATCTGACCCCAGGACAGAGTCGGGGCATAGCAGTGGAGGTGGCTGGCTATGCCGTCCTAGCCATGATGACCCTTGACCCCGAGGGCCACAGACAACAGGCCCTAAAGGTCATCAAGTGGATCACCTCACAGAGGAACGGTCAGGGAGGCTTCTATTCCACACAGGTATTCTGGTTGTTGCAGGCGAGGAGTCACAATAACGTGGCTGAAGTATGTTGACCAATTCACACACTAGAAGGTGAAGGGACGACGACATTTCGGTCCTGGATCATTCTTGTATCACAATCGACTTGAGAATGGTCCAGGACGGACCGAAACGTCGTCGTCCCTTCATTTTCTAGTGTGTGAATTGGTCAACATTGTGGTTGTTATGAACAAATCCACAAGGGCCGTGACGAGGATTCGAACCTGCGTCCGGGAGCATCCCAGACACTGCCTTAATCGACTGAGCTACGACAGGGTAAATTCTTCGAATTTAGGTTCGAATCCTCGTCACGGCCCTTGTGGATTTGTTCATTTGATGCATCACGTTAGTGTGATCTCTGTGTGTGATCGTGGTTGTTGTTCTGTTTTGATCGGTTATTGGTTAAAACGAAATGTTGCTGTTAAAAAGTAGAATGAAACACTTGTGTACCCAAGGCACTTACAGCTTGTCTGGCACCCAGGACACAGTGGTGGCCCTCCAGGCTCTGGCCGTGTTCGAGACCCACTCGTACCAGGGAGCCTTGAACGTGGTAGCAACAGTGACAGCTAGCAGCCTGAGCCACGCCTTCACCGTCACCGACGACAATAAACTCCTTCAGCAGTTGGTGAAGCTTCCTTCTCTCCCCACTAAGGTCTCCTTCGCCCTGGACGGGCAAGGGTGTGTCGTCATACAGGTAAAATATGGGCTTATAAACACTTGTAAACATTTCTAAAATATTCTAAATATATAAAAAAATAGTTATCCCATATAACTATTAACAAAGTTAATAATATCAAAAATTGGGTCTGATGTTGACAAAGACTTTAACAGACCGAAACGTTAACTTCCTTTCATATTTCTCTGTGGACTTTCCGCATATAAAAAAAATATTCTAAATATGCAAATATTTATGGGAAATATTCTAAATATGCAAATATTTATGGAAAATATTCTAAATATGCAATAATATTTAGATTAATATGCCCGAAATGCTTTGCGTAATATTGGTTTTAGGCATTGTATATACTAGCTCTATAAATCTATCAATTTTTGTAAAATCTCTTGTATGTATGTACCTTACCTGAATAGACATTTATTTATTTATATATTTATTTTATTATTAAAGCCACATACACACACACAGCGTTTCGGGCATATTAATCTAAATATTATTGCATATTTAGAATATTTTCCCCTTGATGAATATCCGTATTTTTACTCCCCCCTCTAATGGATTTGTAAAAAATTTTCCCCGAATGGCGAGTTTATTTGGCAGTGTCACTCATAGTGACAGTATTGGGCAGCGCCACTCAAAAATTCTGAATCACTCAATTAAATTCTGTATAATTTAGAATTTATCCTGGTAGAAGTTTTCCTCTTTCACAAATTTAGGGGAGAGGTTATACATATAGCCTATCAATCGAAATTAATCAACTCATATCAATTTTGCTACAATTGGTTAGTCTACAACTAAATGGATTAGTTAAACGTTAAATCAGCTTATAGTTTGGTATCCAGCCATGTCATGTTATCATCTATGCCGCGTCGCCTAGTGTTCCAACAATATCGGCGTCAGAATATTACATTCTTGTATACAATAACAACAATAAATACAATAACATTACATCAGGACATGTGTCGTACAGACTCAAATAATTCGTTGCTGTTACCCGTTTCGGATGAGTAGCTAATCACCCCAATTTCAATCACCAATCACAATTTTGGGTGAGCCTAACCAATCGTTTTAATAGCATATATGACCACAATTATCTATCAATCGGATGGCTATATATTTATTTATTTATTTATTTATATGCAAGAAGGTACATTTAGTTTATGAGAATACATAGCACTGATAATTTTACATTCTTGTAAAGCCACCAACACGCATAGCATTTCGGGCAGAGCCTTAATCTAATAGATAAATTTAAGTAGATAATTTGTATAGCAAAATTTAAAAATTTTAACAGGAACATTGTCAGAAAATTTGAAGAAAATTAATAGGTTCATTGTAGTCACATTTGAGGCTTATCAATAGGTACATTGTAGCATAATTTGAGGATTATTTCAAGGTACATTGTAGCAAAATTTGCATTCCCCATAACAAGCATTATATAAGATAATTGCAATGATTACAATGATGAAGTTATATGGTTTAGGTATACATATTGGGGGCGTGGGTAACACAAGATACAATACGAGTTTGAAGCACTAGGTAAGAAATTATTAGGATGAAATTAGGTACTTTTTGATATAGACCACTACCTTCGATATAGAACTTTTTGATATAGACCACTACCTTCGATATAGAACTTTTTGATATAGACCACTACCTTCGATATAGAACTTTTTGATATGGGACACTTCCTTCGATATAGAACTTTTTGATATGGGACACTTCCTTCGATATAGAACTTTTTGATATAGACCACTTCCTTCGATATAGAACTTTTTGATATGGGACACTTCCTTCGATATAGAACTTTTTGATATGGGACACTTCCTTCGATATAGAACTTTTTGATATGGGACACTTCCTTCGATATAGAACTTTTTGATATGGGACACTTCCTTCGATATAGAACTTTTTGATATGGAACACTTCCTTCGATATAGAACTTTTGATATGGAACACTTCCTTCGATATAGAACTTTTTGATATAGAACACTTCCTTCGATATAGAACTTTTTGATATAGAACACTTCCTTCGATATAGAACTTTTTGATATAGACCACTTCCTTCGATATAGAACTTTTTGATATAGAACACTACCTTCGATATAGAACTTTTTGATATAGAACACTACCTTCGATATAGAACTTTTTGATATAGAACACTACCTTCGATATAGAACTTTTTGATATAGAACACTTCCTTCGATATAGAACTTTTTGATATAGAACACTACCTTCGATATAGAACTTTTTGATATAGACCACTACCTTCGATATAGAACTTTTTGATATAGACCACTACCTTCGATATAGAACTTTTTGATATAGACCACTTCCTTATGGCTAGCGACGTCCGTGTAGGGAAGGTTCTATAAGAACTCGTATAAGCACGTTCTCTGGCCTATTTTCTAGTGATAATAATAATAATAATAATAATTTTTATTTAGGTAAGGTACATACATAAAGAGATTTTACAAAGTTTGTTGGCTTTATAGATAGAGCTAGTACATACAATGCCTAAAGCCACTATTACGCAAAGCGTTTCGGGCAGGAAAAAACACTAATGACTAAAGCTTAAAACTAATGGGTAAAAAGAAAAAATGCGTTGAGTACAAATAAAAATCTCTAGATTTTAGATAGAGTAAAAATATTTAGATAGATAGATAGAAGATAGATAGATAAAAATAATTAGATAGATAGAGTAAAAATAAAAATCCAGATCTCTAAGGTGAGTAAACTCCTGTTCTTGATTTTGATCGATGAAGATTAAGCCACCCAAAAGGTGGCACGGGCATGAATAGCCCGTAATTTAATGGCGTGTCTCTCTCTCTCTCTCTCTCTCTCTCTCTCTCTCTCTCTCTCTCTCTCTCTCTCTCTCTCTCTCTCTCTCTCTCTCTCTCTCTCTCTCTCTCTCTCGCTCTCTCTCTCTCTCTCTCTCTCTCTCTCTCTCTCTCTCTCTCTCTCTCTCTCTCTCTCTCTCTCTCTCTCTCTCTCTCACAACGTAATCACGAATCCCAAATGCTTTAACATTAATCACTTTTGGGTAAACCACGAAAATGATGAATGGGTATGAGGTCGGAGTAAATATGTAACCTTTACAGAAAACACAACATATGATTATATTTGACAATTCTTGTAATTTGCAGAGGGGTGAAGTGGGGGGCACTTGAGATGCCTATATTTCTTAAAGCATGGCACTTGGGCTGACCTAGATTTATGTACCAAGGCATATTAAAGCCGAGTCCATTCTTGCAGGGTGTTCTGCGTTACAACATTCCTGAGGCCGAGGCTAGTGACGCCTTCAGCATGACAGTCACCGCCATCACGGCGCCAGATGTCAAGTGCGTCACTAAACGCGTCACTGTGTGCGCCGCCTACCGTCTCCCCGACGGCAGGTCCAACATGGCCGTCACTGAGGTGGATCTCGTCTCCGGTTACATCCCAGAGAAAGAAGATCTGAAGAAGGTGGTTAGAGAGGACGTCAACGTTAAGCGATATGATGTAGATGGGAGCAAGGTTGCTTTCTACATTGAAGGATTAGCGGCCAATAGCACGTGTATAAAGTTCCGTGTGATTAGAGAAATCGAGGTAGAGAATGTGAAGCCTGGCTCAGTGCGTCTCTACGACTACTACCAACCAGAGTTCCAGATCTCTAAGGTGAGTAAACTCCTGTTCTTGATTGATTGATGAAGATTAAGCCACCCAAAAGGTGGCACGGGCATGAATAGCCTGTAAGTGGTGAAACTTTTGAGCCATTACCAGTATCAAGAGCTGATACTGGAGATCTGTGGAGGTGCGACTGCACCCTGCGTGACGGGAGATGTCTCCCGTCTCCTGCTCTTGGTATTAACACAGTATTAAAATGTTTCAAATTTGTATTATATACCGGCAAAATGCTAATGTTGTGGGGGTTTGAGCCTTACGGGGTCAGTAATTCGACCTTGGGGAGAGACCTCGATAAAAGCCTAACGTGTATGAATGTATGAATACACACTGGCTTCCTGTCCCACGACACAATTTAATATTATAAATTATCTGAAGAATGTATGCAAATCGACAGCCTTATAAGAATGGCTAGATAGGCTTCCTCTCATGGCAATTGCAAACAACGTTCTTAAAAACTGGCAATTTACCGTTATTTTAGAGAAATTTGTTTCCAAGAAATTATACAAAGCAAAAGTTTGAATTTGTATTATTGTTAATTAGTAATTGTAATTGTAGCTAGTCGCTTAAATTCGTCCAAACAAGACCAACAATCGGGGGCCAGATTCACGAAAGCAGTTACGAAAGTACTTACGAACGTGTACATCTTTCCTCAATCTTTGACGGCTTTGTTTACATTTATTAAACAGTTTATAAGCATGAAAACTTCCCAATTAACTGTTGTTATTGTTATAAACAGCTTCCTGGCGCTTTGGAGCTCATTAACTGTTTAATAATTGTAAACAATGCCGCCAAAGATTGAGAAAAAATGTACAGGTTCGTAAGTGCTTGCGTAACTGCTTTGTGAATCCGGGTCCAGGGCTGCTGGACGCCCACTCTTAGGAAAAAAGAGGAATTACTTCCACGGTTCAAATAATCAACTGCGCTGTTTATGGCAGCTGTAAAATCACCTGCAAGTGATTTTCGTTCCATATATTAATTGCAGGAAAACAAATCCTGATAAGATATTATGACCAGACAGACGTGATTGATTTGCCGAAGTTATATCCCATACATAATATTGCTCCTCCCACATGGTGCAGGATCTAATTTGATTTGTTTACAGTATCGCCATAATTAATGTTATGTACACTAATGTTATTAATGTTATGGTTTCAGAGTTACACGCTGCCGCCTGTGGATGAATGCTCCTAAAACAGTCAGGGTTGAGGTGGCCTCCGTATAAGCCGGGGCATAGATTGGACCGGGTACAACGGATCCGGATCACCCGGATGCAACGAATTTCCGGATCACCCGGATGCAACAAATCCGGATCACCCGGATACAACGTTTTCCTGTTCTGTCAGTGCCACCTTTGCGTCAGACAATGGCCCCTCGTGTCAATGTAGGCTTGTCGACAAGCCTACGTTGACCCGAGAGGAAACTGTCTGCCATAAAGGTGACACTGACATCACAGGATGTCTACATTATCACATCTGGAGACAACAAGAAAGGATCCCACACTCCCCCGACACTCTTAGCGTTTAGGGCGCATCCGATCCCACGATCGTCGTCGCCCCTAACTCAACAACAACAACTCTTAGCGTTTCTACTCTCTCTCTCTTTCTCTCTCTCTCTCCAGTTACTCTGCTTCTCATATTTAATTTCACATATTATAACTGATATCACCTGGTTCCTATATTAATTAATGTTCCATGTCTCAGCTGGCTAAAAGTGGATAGGAAGCATCTATATTAAAAACTGTATTGACTACATATTCTCATATTAAATATCAAAATAAAAATAAAATTTAAGTTCCTTAGAGAACCAAATTTATATTTTTAATTAGGAAATACATTTTTTGGGACATGACATAAGATCTGTGATTTATTTTACTGCCAAGTTCTATATTTGTTTAGTAAAACAACTAAGTTAATGGTTTTCTTCATGCCTCGCCATGCAAACAAATGTATAATAAAACAAAAAAATGCTTTATTTTATAATTATTGATATTTTCCCAACGAGTCTTTCCCAATAATGTGTTACTGCCAGTTTTTACTCTGGACAGAAGAGCCTCCAATAGCAACAGGTGGACCCATTGTGCGATAAACACCATTAATACATTAAGTGCAGTCTCCGTGGTGCAGTGGTAAGACACTCGCCTGGCGTTCCGCGAGCGCTATGTCATGGGTTCGTATCCTGGCCGGGGAGGATTTACTGGGCGCAATTCCTTAACTGTAGCCTCTGTTTAACGCAACAGTAAAATGTGTACTTGGATGAAAAACGATTCTTCGCGGCGGGGATCGTATTCCAGGGACCATAGGATTAAGGACTTGCCCGAAACGCTACGCGTACTAGTGGCTCTACAAGAATGTAACAACTCTTGTATATATCTCAAAAAAAAAAAAAAAAAAAAAAATACATTCGATATAACAAACACAGTCACTGAGAAGGGTGTCGACGACATACATGCAGACTTTGTTATGCAAGCCCCTTGGGAATCTCCGCCAGCAGACTTTAAGATTATGGCTATGCCAGATTCACGAAACAGTTACGAAAGTACTTACGAACGTGTACATCTTTCCTCAATCTTTGACGGCTTTGTTTACATTTATTAAACAGTTTATAAGCATGAAAACTTCCCAATCAACTGTTGTTATTGTTATAAACAGTCTCCTGGTGCTTCGGAGCTCATTAACTGTTTAATAATTGTAAACAAAGGGTCGTAAGTACTTGCGTAACTGCTTTGTGAATCCGGGTCCAGGAAAAAAAAAAAAAAAAAAAATACATTCGATATAACAAACACAGTCACTGAGAGGGGTGTCGACGACATACATGCAGACTTTGTTATGCAAGCCCCTTGGGAATCTCCGCCAGCAGACTTTAAGATTATGCAGGCGATGAGTCACAATAACGTGGCTGAAGTATGTTGACCAGACCACACACTAGAAATTGAAGGGACGACGACGTTTCGGTCCGTCCTGGACCATTCTCAAGTCGATTGTGATGAGGACAGGTAGGGACAGGCATTAAATAGGCAAGAGAGAGCTGAGGAGGAAAGTCAGGTGTAGGGGATAGTAGTAATGAGAACTGCAGCAGGCCTATTGGCCCATACGAGGCAGCTCCTATTATAACCACCGAAGGAGATAGTAATAGGAATAAGAAGAGGATAGCAAGGGAGCGTAGAAGACAATGAACAGAAAAAGGGAGAAGAGAGAAAGAAAGGGAAAGAGAAAGAAAGAAATGGAAGGGGGAAAGCTTATGTTAAGTCACGTTTGTTAGAAAGATTAGAGCATTTGAGTATATACTGTGAAAGGGAAGAGTCCACAGCAACAAAGCCAGGACTCAAGTTCATGTTGGGTACATTGTTAATAAGAGCCGATTCTACAAGACGGCGTCTGTGTAGAGTAGAGGCAGGAAAGATTATTTTGGAGGAAGACCAATCAATGGGATGATTAGAATCCCTCACATGGCAGAAGAGAGCATTGTTAGTGTCAGCAGACTTAACACTTCTCTTGTGTTCTTTAAGTCTGTCATTCAGTGTACGGCCAGTTTCGCCAAAGTATTGGAGAGGACAAGATGAACAGGAAATAGAGTAGACACCAGCAGCATTAGAAGCAGGAGGAGCAGTGTGAACTAGATTGCTACGAAGTGTGTTAGTTTGTCGAAAGGCGAGTTTAATGTCAAGAGGACGAAAGGTATTGGTAAAACTTTTGAGTTCAGATATGAAGGGAAGGCATAGTACAGTGCTACTAGTGTTGGAAGCAGGTTTAGGATGAAAGAAATTTCGTCTAGCTTGAGAGTAGGCACAAAACTGAGGGTCGCTGATGCGTAGAGCGCGGAGGAAGAGAGAGACGAGGACACTTTTCTTAACAGAAGGAGGATGGTAGGAAAAGAAGTGAATGTACATGCCACTATGCATGGGTTTACGGTAGACAGAGAAAGAGAACCCAGACACAGAGCTGTGAACATGAACATCAAGAAAAGGAAGGAGGGAATTAGATTCCCACTCAACTTTGAAATGGATAGAAGGAGCCAGATTGTTAAGAGAGGCGAGGAAAGGCTGGAAAAGATTAAGGTCATGAGGCCATAAAGCAAAAATGTCATCAACATAGCGAAGCCAGAGAGAGGGACGAGTATCAGTAGAAGGAAGAAGAACAGTTTCGAAGTATTCCATGTAGAAATTAGCAAGAACAGGGGAGAGAGGGGAACCCATAGCGACGCCGAAAGTTTGAGTGTAATATTTACCGTTGAAAGAGAAAGAGTTAGATTCAACACAGAGTCTAATGAGATCGAGGAAAACGTCAGTGGGAAGTGGGAGAGGAAGGAGGCCCTCTGACGCCTTCTGTCTGAGGAAAGAGAGAACGTCATCGAGCGGAACATTTAAGATTATGGCTACCTTACCTTGAGGTTACCTTGAGGTGCTTCCGGGGCTTAGCGTCCCCGCGGCCCGGTCGTCGACCAGGCCTCCTGGTTGCCGGACTGATCAACCAGGCTGTTGGACGCGGCTGCTCGCAGCCTGACGTACGAGTCACAGCCTGGTTGATCAGGCTATTGAAGGAAAAAAGAACCAGACAAATCCTCATCTGCTACGTAACATTGCACAGATGCATATAGAAGCAACCATGGCATCCGACAGCTTCACTTACTTCACAGATGGATCAGTAGACCAGCAGAGACAGGAAACCGGAGCTGCAGTTAAAGCAGGAAACTCTGTAAATAGTTGGAGGCTCTCAAATGGGTGTTCGACTTTACAAACAGAGATGCTAGCCATTCAAAAGGCTTTGGAACATACTCTTGCTGAACACCGAGGTGCCAAGTCATGTGGGAATAATAGGAAATGACATTGCAGACGAAGCTGCAAAACTTGCAACTAAGAGAAGAAATGTAGACATTTACATACCACAGAGTCTATCACAGATTAAGAAAGTAATTAGAAACAGAGCAATGCAGGTGATGTACAGTGACCACAACACAGCAGTTGCAACATCAGGATCTGCGGGTTGGTACAAGAATTCAACCAACTACGAACCACTTAGTTTGATGAAAGGGAGCAGTAGAGCAACAGAAGTACACTTACATCGCATCAGGCTTGGATACCCATGTGCATGGGAAATAGGCTTACAGGTTCCGGAAGATGAGAGGAAATGTCAACACTGTGGAGAAATGCCCGACAGACCACTGGAACATTATCTAACACAGTGCACAGTTACAGCCACAACAGACCACTGGAACATTATCTAACACAGTGCACAGTTACAGCCACAACAGACCACTGGAACATTATCTAACACAGTGCACAGTTACAAACCCATTAAGATTTCAACTTAGATTCAACAGAGCAGAAGAAGTTGTTAAACACATATGACAAAATCTTACTGAAGCGACCATACGAGTCATAAATACTCATACTCCGCCCAAGTAAAACAGAAACAAGCAACACTTAGTGGGCCAGCCAGAGGCTTAGGGCCCGCCCAGTGGGCCAGCCAGAGGCTTAGGGCCCGCCCAGTGGGCCAGCCAGAGGCTTAGGGGGCCAGCCAGAGGCTTAGGGCCAGCCCAGTGGGCCAGCCAGAGGCTTAGGGCCCGCACAGTGGGCCAGCCAGAGGCTTAGGGCCCGCCCAGTGGGCCAGCCAGAGGCTTAGGGCCCGCCCAGTGGGCCAGCCAGAGGCTTAGGGCCCGCCCAGTGGGCCAGCCAGAGGCTTAGGGCCCGCACAGTGGGCCAGCCAGAGGCTTAGGGCCCACCCAGTGGACCAGCCAGAGGCTTAGGGCCCGCCCAGTGGGCCAGCCAGAGGCTTAGGGCCCGCCCAGTGGGCCAGCCAGAGGCTTAGGGCCCGCACAGTGGGCCAGCCAGAGGCTTAGGGCCCGCCCAGTGGGCCAGCCAGAGGCTTAGGGCCCGCGCAGGAATATCCCTGCAAAAATAAAAAAAATTCCTTACAGCCACCTGCCATAGATATCGATATCCCAGCCTAATTCTGACAATTACAATGTCATACTGTCTAGTGAAGGTTTGATGCTGCCAGGTGCATATAATTCTCGGTTCTAAACATATCTGAATAATAATAATAATAATAATAATAATAATAATAATAATAATAATAATAATAATAATAATAATAATAAAGGTAATTCAGGTAAAAGTACATACATATAAAATGAGTTACAAACAAATTGTTGGATTTCTAGATAAAGCAAGATAGTCAGAATGAGAGAATCTAGATATTTCTAGTTAAGAGTCAATGTGCCTAAAGCCACTAATATTAAAGGCACGTTTCGGCCAAAATGTGGGGGGGGAAAACACTTAAAAATTATAACTTAAAAACTAATTGAGATCAAAAGCATGAAATGAACTGAAATAGGGGAAAAAATGACAATAATTACATATTGGATTGAACAGCAGAAGTAAATTTCAATTATAAACTTTTAAAGTACAACTGGAAAAGATCATCAAAGCATATACAGCGGACCTTCGACAAGCCGCCGGCTAGCTGTCCTCCTCGAGGCTACCAGAGTTAGTGGCTTTCAGGTAAATTCAGGTAAATATCATAGCTCCTTGAAATCGTCCGGGTGCGCGCCTCCGTGCTGTAGCTGCCCCTAACCTTACAACAACAACAGCAGCAGGAAGCCGGCGGCTTGTCAAAGGAACAAGCCCTTATCCTGATGATTTGATCTATTTGGAATCTTAAAAAATTTACAGCAATGTTTTAGCACGCAAGGCTTCAGTTATAGCCAGTTTGGGAGCTTAAAATGAGCTTAGGTCCGTTTATTATGCGCCTCATACCCACCTTGTGGCCTTGTGCGTAGTGTATGTGAAGGAAATGTTAAGGAAGTTTAGCCTTGTTGTGTAGCAAGTGGCTGGCTCAGGTCCCATGGAGGCTTGATGCTCGCCCCTTGCACGTCTGCACGTCACCAGGTGTGGAACTCGTTAGGCCAGCAGGTGTGGACCTCCAGCCCAGTAGGTGGGGGCCTCATTAGGCCAGCAGGTGTGGACCTCCAGCCCAGCAGGTGTGGAGCTCATTAGGCCAGCAGGTGGGGATCTCCAGCCCAGCAGGTGTAGAGCTCATTAGGCCAGCAGGTGTGTGGACCTCCAGTCCAGCAGGTGTGGACCTCCAGCCCAGCAGGTGTGGACCTCCAGCCCAGTAGGTGTGGACCTCCAGCCCAGCAGGTGTGGACCTCAACAAAGCAGGTGTGAACCTGAAGCCAGCAGGTGTGGACATCAACACAGCAGGTGTGGATGTCAAGTGCCATCACTCCAATCAACCCGTCATCTCTGTTGTATACTGTACACATAAAGGGTGAGTGCTCGATTTTTTTTATTAAATGTTAAGTTCCAGTATTACAGTCAGATTCGTTCTCAACTCATAATTGAGAATCCCGGGCAGGACAGAAATGGTTGGGCACATGTCCTATCACCTAATGCCACTGTTCACCTAGCAGTGAGTAGTTACTCAGGAGTTAATTAGCTTGTTGTGGGGTTGTATTCTGGGCTGGGTCAGTAATTCATCCTTGAGAGGGGGGACGGACCTCGATATAAGCGCAACGTGTATTAATACACTCTGGCTGCCTGTCCCCGGACACAATGAATTATTATTATTTTTATTATTATAATCTACTGTACACAGATTTTGCAAAAGACTTCAACAAATGTGACCATGGTGTTATTGCACACAAAAGAAATTACTGGCTAGTTAAGGAGATGGATCTTTAACTTCCTAACGAACAGAACCCACAGTGTCATAGTCGATTAAATAAAATCTGAATCATCCACCATGAAAAGATCAGTCTCCCAAAATACTGTGTTCACTCTATTACTTTTCCTCATCTTAATATCAGACATTGTCAAGGATACAAACTATAGTACTGTATTGTATTGTTTCGTTATTTCCAGGTGACACTAGAATCTTCATGAGAGTAGACAATTTAGAGAACACAGCAAACTTCCAGTAGGATTTTTTAAATTTTGCCCCGTGGGGCGAGTTTATTGGGCAGCGCCACTCATCTTGTGAGTGGACACACCGCCATAGTGACAGTATTGGGCAGCGCCACTCATCCTGTGAGTGGACACACCACCATAGTGACAGTATTGGGCAGCGTCACTCATCCTGTGAGTGGACACACCACCATAGTGACAGTATTGGGCAGCGCCACTCATCCTGTGAGTGGACACACCGCCATAGTGACAGTATTGGGCAGCACCACTCATCCTGTGAGTGGACACACCGCCATAGTGACAGTATTGGGCAGCGCCACTCATCCTGTGAGTGGACACACCGCCATAGTGACAGTATTGGGCAGCATCACTCATCCTGTGAGTGGACACACCGCCATAGTGACAGTATTGGGCAGCGCCACTCATCCTGTGAGTGGATACACCGCCATAGTGACAGTATTGGGCAGCGCCACTCATCCTGTGAGTGGACACACCGCCATAGTGACAGTATTGGGCAGCGCCACTCATCCTGTGAGTGAATACACCGCCATAGTGACAGTATTGGGCAGCGCCACTCATCCTGTGAGTGGACACACCGCCATAGTGACAGTATTGGGCAGCACCACTCATCTTGTGAGTGGACACACCGCCATAGCAGCATGTACAACACTCCCCAATAGGAAGAAAACCCGCTGGGTTGTTCATCCTGTCACTTGTACCCAGACACAGCTGGGACTTGCTTAACTGTCTCACGTGAACAGCTCCTCAAACAAGAAGATGAACATCTATCAACCCTTAAAAGCTTACGTTATCTTGCAGGTGCAAAATGGGGAAAGCCCACTCCAGTAGGATGTTCATCAAATTTGTTAATGTGTCAGAAAATAACATGATGCTTAATGAGGATAAGTTCCACTTATAAAAGAAACAAAAATGTCAAAACAGAAACCACATGTAAAATGCAGTCAAAACCACACTGTTGAAAGAACAGGGCTTCAAACCTTGTGGTTCAAACTCTCACTGTTTCTTATACTACCCACTTCCCCAATATTAATACTTAAGACATATATCTTTACCAGTGTAATCTCCTCTGTCAATTTATATTGTAGTTATATGTTGATATAAAACCTTGCTACAATGTACCTTTTCATATTGCCCGATATGTTCGATTAAGGACCTGCCCGAAACGCTATGTGTGTTAGTGGCTTTGCAAGAATGTAAAAATACAAATATTAAGTAACCTCACAAACCCATTGTACATTCTTGTAAATAAAATTATTATTATTATTATTATTATTATTATTATTATTATTATTATTATTATTATTATTATTATTATTATTATTATTATTATTATTAAGAAAAGGCATTGTAAAAGATTAAGGTGTTATCATGTTGGTAGACCTTACTTTTAAAGAACACAAGATAGTACTTGTCACAACTGCAAGCAAATTTAAAGATTGGATAACAAGAACCTTTCATACAAGAGATGATAATACTTTAAGACAGTAGTTCTTTCTAAGGTGAAATATTGTTGCCCACTAACAGCCCCATTCAAAGCTGGCGAAATTGCTGACCTGGAGAGAGTGATAAAATCCACTCGGTAAAAATATAAATTATTGGAACGGCTTAAAATAATAATAATAATAATATACCTGTAATAATAAACTTTATTCACAAGAATGTGTGTACAGAAAACATAAGAGAAATGTACAATTATAGGAACAGGAGATACACATACTAATGAAGCCACTATTATGCAAAGCATTCTGGGCAAAACATAAAATAAATAGACAACAAATTTAACTAACAGTGTGAGGGGGTAAAACATTTAAAACTAAAGGAAAATGTTCATGGAAAATAACAAAAATTGCAAAAAAGGTGATAATTAAGGATAACATGCATAGACTATTACAATTTAGAGTCAGTAGATGTAGCCGACTCCAAATCAGAAGTTTACGGTAGTGTATAGTACAGTAGTTTATTTACATTAATAACAAAATGGAAATACAAGGTGTAGTTTAGAATAGCAACCGGACTCTTACTCATAACGTTTTCTTTGGAATCTAACGGAACATAGATTAATATATTAACTGAAGGTGAATGAGGCCAACACTAAAACGAAACAAGGAACATTAAGGACGTGAGTAAACACTTTAACAAAGAAATGCAAAAAATTAGATGACAATAAATGTAGAAAGTACATAATACTTAGTAAATAAAAATTGAAGATAAGATTAACACAAAAATAACTTATTACAAGGAAAATAGTGAGTGAAATTAGTTACATGTATTGATTATAAGATAATAATTACCTGATATTAAGTAAATATTTCTTAGTCTCTTTTAAACTAGCTGGGAGACGTACAACTTTTAATTACGTTTGGGAGGTCATTCCACGATTTGCTAGCCCAGATTTGCATTGCCTTTCTGCTTTGGTTGGGTTTCAATCTAGGAATATCAAAGAGATATTTGTTACTTGTGTGGTGACCGTAAGATCTATTACAGCCATCTAGGGAGCGCTTAAGGTCAGGATTGGCATTGCAGTTCAGAGTTTTATAGATATAGAGAACACCTGAGAGTATGTGCAGAGACTTGATATTTAACATGTTCAAGGATATCAGTAAGGGAGCAGCAAGTTCCAGAGTCTGGGACTGGAATTTGTGATTGTTCAAATTGCTGATGTTTGTTGGGTAATTAGGGCTTAAAAATGTTAAATATGTATCCTAGAGAGCAGGCAGGAGAGATGCATAATAATTCGTGCTTGGAAAGTACTAAAAGAACTGGTTCCAAATCTGCACACACAGTAATAGCATCACATACATACCAAACATACCAGCGATACAAAGATGCGAGAAACAACTACACGGCAGTGAGGAGAGAGGCAGAAAGAAATTTTGAAAAAGGGATTGCGGACAAATGTAAAACAGAACCAGGTCTATTCTATAAATTCATAAACAACAAATTGCAGGTAAAGGATAATATTCAGAGGTTGAAAATGGGAAATAGATTCACGGAAGATGAAAAGGAAATGTGTGAAACACTAAACGAAAAGTTCCAAAGTGTGTTTGTACAAAATGAAATCTTTAGGGAACCAGATACAATAAGAATTCCAGAGAACAACATAGAACACATAGAGGTGTCTAGAGACGAAGTGGAAAAAATACTCAAGGAGCTCGGTAAGAACAAAGCAGCTGGCCCAGATGGCGTTTCACCATGGGTTCTGAGAGAATGTGCATCTGAGCTCAGCATTCCACTTCACCTGATCTTTCAGGCATCCCTGTGTACAGGAATCGTAGCAGACGGGTGGAAACAGGCTAACATAGTTCCAATCTACAAAAGTGGCAGCAGGGAAGACCCCCTCAATTATAGACCTGTATCATTAACAAGTGTAATAGTGAAAGTATTGGAAAAACTAATCAAAACTAAATGGGTAGAACACCTAGAGAGAAATGATATAATATCAGACAGACAGTATGGTTTTCGATCTGGAAGATCCTGTGTATCGAATTTACTCAGTTTCTATGATCGAGCCACAGAGATATTACAGGAAAGAGATGGTTGGGTTGACTGCATCTATCTGGACCTAAAAAAGGCTTTCGACAGAGTTCCACATAAGAGGTTGTTCTGGAAACTGGAAAATATTGGAGGGGTGACAGGTAAGCTTCTATCATGGATGAAAAATTTTCTGACTGATAGAAAAATGAGGGCAGTAATCAGAGGCAATGTATCAGAATGGAGAAATGTCACAAGTGGAGTACCACAGGGTTCAGTTCTTGCACCAGTGATGTTTATTGTGTACATAAATGATCTACCAGTTGGTATACAGAATTATATGAACATGTTTGCTGATGATGCTAAGATAATAGGAAGGATAAGAAATTTAGATGACTGTCATGCCCTTCAAAAAGACCTGGACAAAATAAGTATATGGAGCACCACTTGGCAAATGGAATTTAATGTTAATAAATGTCATGTTATGGAATGTGGAATAGGAGAACATAGACCCCACACAACCTATATATTATGTGAGAAATCTTTAAAGAATTCTGATAAAGAAAGAGATCTAGGAGTGGTTCTAGATAGAAAACTATCACCTGAGGACCACATAAAGAATATTGTGCAAGGAGCCTATGCTATGCTTTCTAACTTCAGAATTGCATTTAAATACATGGATGGCGATATACTAAAGAAATTGTTCATGACTTTTGTTAGGCCAAAGCTAGAATATGCAGCTGTTGTGTGGTGCCCATATCTTAAGAAGCACATCAACAAACTGGAAAAGGTGCAAAGACATGCTACTAAGTGGCTCCCAGAACTGAAGGGCAAGAGCTACGAGGAGAGGTTAGAAGCATTAAATATGCCAAAACTAGAAGACAGAAGAAAAAGAGGTGATATGATCACTACATACAAAATAGTAACAGGAATTGACAAAATCGACAGGGAAGACTTCCTGAGACCTGGAACTTCAAGAACAAGAGGTCATAGATTTAAACTAGCTAAACACAGATGCCGAAGAAATATAAGAAAATTCACCTTCGCAAATAGAGTGGTAGACGGTTGGAACAAGTTAAGTGAGAAGGTGGTGGAGGCCAAGACCGTCAGTAGTTTCAAAGCGTTATATGACAAAGAGTGCTGGGAAGACGGGACACCACGAGCGTAGCTCTCATCCTGTAACTACACTTAGGTAATTACACTTAGGTAATTACATGAGACCAGAAGGCATGGCAGGATGTGCAAAATAGCCCCATTGAAAATCAGAGGTGCAATAGGCATGCTTAGAGAGAGAACTTGATCAGTATCAAAGGCCCAAGACTTTTCAACACACATTCCTACACATAAGGGGCATAACTGGCCGACCTCTTGCAGTGTTTAAAAGATAACTTAACAAACGCCTTCAAAGGATACCTGATCAACCAGGCTGTGACTCATAGACGAAAAGATATAGAAAGCCAGATTCAAACCGAAGGGCAGAAGCTGAAAGTGGTAAACCTGAGGACCCACAACAGAACCTAATGTCCCTAAGCCTTGGATGTGAAGGGACATGCCAGTAAGTATCCTTGAGGTCAAGGAACACCATCCAAGACCCAGTTTGTAAAATAAGATAAACCTAGGCAAGGTGGTTGTGCAAAAAGTTGGACAGGGAATAAAGCTGATCAAACCCGAAAGATCGAGGAAGAACATGAGGTCCACCAAGTGCAGGCGAGGAGTCACAATAACGTGGCTAAAGTATGTTGACCAGACCACACACTAGAAGGTGAAGGGACGACGACGTTTCGGTCTGTCCTGGACCATTCTCAGGTCGATTGTGATGAGGAAGTAGATGCAGGCAATAAACAGGCTAGAGAGAGGTAAGGAGCAAAGTGTAGTAGAGGAGACAGTAGTAGGAATAAGAACTGCAGAGGGCCTATTGGGCCTATTCCACCAAGTCACACTTTGGGACCGGAAACAACCAAGACACAGACCAAAGGGACGAGTTCGGTTCAACCATGCCTAAAATCAAATAAGTCACAATGACCTGACGGAGAAGCAGGGAGGATTCCAGACCTGTGACAACTGTTTCCCCCTCCCCCCCCCTTCCTCCTCCTGTCATTTCTTTGTTATGTAATAATTATTTATTTGTATTGAAGCCACTCATTTAAAAGTTCTACAATATTCCCCATCACATAGGCTATACACTATTATGCAACATTTTCTCTGTTTATACTGTGATTACATATTTCACTAAAAATATTTTCAAATTTAATTCTCCAGCATTTTGCTGTTCAGCAAAAAAATTTAGACATTCAGTACATTTACAGTTTTCATAAAATATATTTTCTTGTAAATGATTATATATTTGCAACAGATGGAGCTGCTACCACAGCACGTACACAGTCCAGATCCGCCAAGATCGTGGCTCTCCAAGTCTACAGCTGTAGGAGCTGTAGCTGGATTTTTGGTCATAATTATGCTGCCTTTCTTGCACTTTGGAATAATCTCTCACCTCTGGGATAAGTTCAATTACAAAGTTGACCGAGAGATGTGTTCATGCTCGTGCTGGGACACAATATTTAAAGGTAAGATAACAGTCTCAAAATTAAATGTTTAATTGTCTCTGTTCCTAATTCTTGAGTGAATCATATCTTGAGGTTATCTTGAGATGATTTCGGGGCTTAGCGTCCCCGCGGCCCGTTCCTCGACCAGGCCTCCTTTTTGTTACACACCCCCAGGAAGCAGCCTGTAGCACTAACTCACAGGTACCTATTTACTGCTGGGTAACAGAGGCATCAGGGTGAAAGAAACTCTGCCCCTTTGTTTCTGCCTCCACCAGGGATCAAACCCGGAACCTCAGGACGACGAATCCGAAGTGCTGTCCACTTAGCTGTCAGGCCCCTCAAAATCATTCTGGTATTATTAGCCAAAAAATTATGCCTATATTTCTTTGATAAAATTAAACTTCCCAAAAATGTTCAAAAATCCTCAAGTACTGTACTGTATACTATTATAATATGAAAGATATCTAAATGTAAACAATAAGAATACAAGTACAATACAGAACTTATTTTTCCAATGTTTTCGGGGTGGGTGATCCCTCGGTATCTCCCCGAGCAACACACACACACTTATACCTTTCAGAACCTCAGTGCCACACCAGGGGGCCAGATTCACGAAAGCACTTACGCAAGCCGTTACGAACGTGTACATCTTTCCTCAATCTTTGATGGCTTTGGTTTCATTTATTAAACAGTTTACAAGCATGAAAACTTCCCAATCAACTGTTGTTATTGTTATAAACAGCCTCCTGGTGCTTCGGAGCTCATTAACTGTTTAACTAAACACTACCTAATAAATTCCCTGTAATCTACCTCACTCCTCTATTGTCAACCCATGTCTGTTATTTTCTTTTTTTTTTTCTTTTTTTTAATCAACACTGTTTGTCAACCTATTGTATTTGTGCTGCTTTTTCAGTCATGTTCCCCCTTTTTTTTATCTTTATTTGTATTTGTTCTCAACATCTTTTATTCTTTATGCTCAATTAGTATTAAGTTCTAGATATTAATGTTTTTTCTTGCCCGAAACGCATTGCGTAATAGTGGCTTTAGGCATTGTATGTACTAGCTCTATCTATATATCAATCCATTAATGTAACATCACTTGTATGTATATACCTTACCTGAATAAACATCTGAATCTGAATAATTGTAAACAAAGCCGCCAAAGATTGAGGAAAGATGTACAGATTCGTAAGTGCTTGCGTAAGTGCTTTCGTGAATCTGGCCCCAGGCTCCTTCGATTCACGAATGCCTATCAGTGACCACTACCAGAATCTGGTCCAATTTCTGGAAGGAAAGGGAGTATGAGGATATAAGATTACCACAGTTACCAAGAGTAAACTCCAACAACCAAAGAACATACCAAAATGAATAACTGCATGAATCATATTTGCAATGCTGATGTGAATTTTATAAACAATCATTAACTTGGTCTAAGCGCTAATTTGTATTACACACACCACCGATGGTAAATCCAGTCACTTGCAGCTGCCAACCCAGCCATTCACAAGCTTTGTGTCATTCTGTTCAGCTGTACTGGGCTCAGTCTTCTTTCCAAATAAGGGTTGATTTTCTTTTGAACAGAATCCAGTGCTGCTATATTTGTTCCTTTTGCATCATGTGCAAATGCACATTTTTATTGCCTCATTTTTATTGCCACATTTTTATTGCCTCACTATTCATGTGCTCAAATTTACTGTTCACTTCAGTTGTATGAGGCCAGGGAGCGCCAGAGCCACTTCTCTGAGGTGGTTCTGATACCCTACTTTTTGAGGCACCTCTTGCGAGGCTTTGTCCTGGGTGATGCATGGGGTGTACTTCTCTGTGAGCCCTTATGGTAAGGATGGCCACTTGTACATTCTGGCTGCAGTCTTCCCAAGCATTGTTGAGGGACGTGCCATTGTGTAACATGATGGATATCTAGTATTTTCTCTGTTGCTGCATACCCTTTACTTTGCCATGTGCTCAATTAACAAGGGGTCAGGATATGTTTTGTGAGATGCTTGCATTGCAGATCAATGATCCAAACTAGTTCACTATGAATGTGACACCACCATCGAACCATATATCAGCTGTTACCCTAACCCACTGGACTTTGAAGTAGCCATAGACAGAATGCCCATGTACTCTGCACCAGGCCCAGACTCCTGGAATTCTGTATTCATCAAGAATTGCTAAGAAGCACTATCACAGATCCTATACATATTTTTGGAACAGAGGTTAAATACCAACATACTTAAAACAGCAGAGATCTTACCGCTTCACATAAGAGGTAGAAAAGCTGATACAAAAATTTATCGATCTATAGCTTTAACAACGCACATCATAAAAATCTTTGAAAGAGTGCTAAGAGGTAAAGATCACAAAACACATGGAATCACAGTGTTTACATAACACCCGGCAACGTGGGTTCGGCCTCATGCTCTCCTCCGGCTCCAGATCTTTGGCCCTTCACACTTTTTGGGCAGTTTCTTCGTTTGCTGCCGGATCCTTCTTTTCTATTGGAGACTGGGTCAGTTGGCCTCCAGAGGGGTCTTTGCATCATTGGGATTCGTTTGTGTACATTGTTGGGAGAGTTCTATTGCCATTTCTGGAGGCTGTGCTTTCTTTTAAAGCCATCAGTGGTTTGTTTTGTTTTGCTGACTTTCTGGGTGTCTCTCAGTGTATGAACAACTCACCCATTATGTTCTTGATTTGATTGTATGTTGATCTTGATTTGATTGTATGTTAATTAATGTACTGTATATAGAAACACTGAGATAAGGACTGTTCCTGAATAAATAACCTGGATGTGTCACAATGGCAAAATTGATGATATTTTGGAGAGATATAAGAATATTGCGCCAAGATTGTAACCTTTTGTTGAATTGTCTGAATGTCTCTTGCAAATTGTCTATATGCCTTGTCATAAAAGTATTTGTGTGTACGTCTGGTAACATACTACATGTATAAAGAAAGAAAGCTATATGTTTATCACTCAGAATGTTCAGTAATATGTTTATTGTTTGGGATGTGTCTATATATATGTATGAACACGTACTGAACGGGGTGAGAATAGCTTGAGCTTCCTCATCCCTTTGTGTGAATTTTACCTCAATAAACTTATTTCTATTTCAATTTCAGGGGTGGGGCTCGCCTAGAAATTGGTGTTTCATTACATTCAACGCTGTTTTTTTATAATAGCTTACATTATATCATTTGATATCTTTCAGGAGTATATGAGAGAGGACCAGCAGGGTATAAACATGTATACTTTAACATCACTTCCAATACTCTCAAGATCTGGATTGTTACAGCGCTAGCAGTCATACTCTTATATGAAACTATTAAGAGAATAGTGAGAATTTATATTGACGGAAAGGTGTGTATCTCAACACTGTTTACTGTTTCTGTATACTGTACTCTAGTCCTGTTGTCTGACTCTTTTTAGAAGCTGCAGGTGGGTGGGTGTTATGATAACGTTATGATAACACAGTCCATGGTGGTAGTACTTGACCTTGAGTGCCAACACCCACACATGGTGTCAGCAAGGCAGACAGCTCGCCTGCTTTCATACCTCTCACTGTATTTCCCACTTCTACACTTCCCTTCACTTAAGCCTCTCCTTCCTCTTTACTCCCAAAAAAAAAAAGAAAAAAAAAAGAGAGAGCCACACTTGCCCCACAACCAGTACAAGGTGTTGCCGACGTGGTTACGATGTTGAAATAAAAAATCGAAAAGTTGTTTATGAGTCAGATCTTTATAAGTCAATCTCCTTCAGATGGATTTGCCCCTACAGGGAAACTATTTGTGCCCCGTGTTGCCAGTACAATATCATCCTACCACACTAAAGTCACACATTTTTATTATGTACTAATAATACTGTACCTCTGGCAGCAGGAGAACAGCATACTCAGAAAAAAAATCATTAGCTCTAAATCTGTTTGTCATTATGCTTATTAAACAAACCTCAAAATCAGCAGCTCATATTTGTATGTTTTTACAGGTACGATGGTCCATGGTGGTTCTTCTGGGAGCCAGCGTCTATCCTCATTACTACTCGTGGTGGTCTTATTTTAATTATTGGAATGACGACTTCTACAGCCAATGGAACCATCAGCTTTTCTTTTCTTTCACAGAGTTGGCATCCACCATCACAGTAGTGTATTTAATAGACAAGTAAGTTAATACTTGTGTAAAGGAAGAAATGTATATGTTTATCTCTCAAAATGTTTTTTTTTTTTTTTGAGATATATACAAGAGTTGTTACATTCTTGTACAGCCACTAGTACGCGTAGCGTTTCGGGCAAGTCCTTAATCCTATGGTCCCTGGAATACGATCCCCTGCCGCGAAGAATCGTTTTTTCATCCAAGTACACATTTTACTGTTGCGTTAAACAGAGGCTACAGTTAAGGAATTGCGCCCAGTAAATCCTCCCCGGCCAGGATACGAACCCATGACATAGCGCTCGCGGAACGCCAGGCGAGTGTCTTACCACTACACCACGGAGACTGTAATGTTCAGTAATACGTTTATTGCTTGTGATTTGTGTCTATGTATGTATTAACACGATGTACTGAACGGGGTGAGAATAGCTGGAGCTACCTCATCCCTTTGTGTGTATTTTACCTCAATAAACTTATTTCAATTTCAAGTAAGTTAACATAAGTGATCATTTGTAAGTTTGCTTAGGAATACAGTATATTGATGTAAATACACTCGGGTACAAATTCTAAATCTTAATGCATTCTGTATGTCTGGTAGTTTTAAAATATGCAAAGCATTAATGTGCTTTACTTAATTATGCTCTAAGTAAATGACTACCAACCTGTTATTACACTGTCAACAGCAGCATCCAAAATTTAATTTAAGCTTCGGCCTCGATGGATTTCGTGGATTTGTCAAAGTTGGTATGCTTAGACAAACACATATGCAGGCGATGAGTCACAATAACGTGGCTGAAGTATGTTGACCAGACCACACACTAGAAGGTGAAGGGACGACGGCGTTTCGGTCCGTCCTGGACCATTCTCAAGTCGATTGAGAATGGTCCAGGACGGACCAAAACGTCGTCGTCCCTTCACCTTCTAGTGTGTGGTCTGGTCAACAATAGACAAGCTCACTTCAAATTAGACTCATGATAAATCATAAAGACAGGCAAACTGTAGTTTATACTTTGTGATAGTTGCAGCAAACAATGATTGAAAATTAAAAATGAAGAATATTGATTATATTTTAAGATTAGAAGACGTTTGGGAACACAATTGCCAGTTGCAGTGGACCCGCACTCTAACAAACCTCGCTCTGTTGAATTCCAACATGGGCTAGAAGGTTTGTGTTCAATGTAAATTGTTCAGTGAGTCTAGTAAATATTTGTGTCTGTGACGATTGCTTAAGTTGCCAACTCATCAGAATGCAGCCATGTTAACAGCCAAACTGATAAAATGCAGACGATTGTACAGTGTATGAAAATGTTTAAACTGACTCAAGTGTGACATTATAATTTACAAATTATATTATCACATAATAATATTTGAAAAAATATACATAAAACAACTGAAGGTGATCATTATTGCAGCACATTTTAATAAGGTTCGTTTATGACTAGAAATTTTATTGTTTAATCCAAATATTATAAAATACTTGAAACTTAAAAACTAAATACAACAAATTATACAAATAACAATATCAGAGTAATAACTCAAAAACTTAAGACAAACTTTCCAAAACATATGGGAAAATGTCTATACAACAGCCATTCTATGCCTTCAAACATCAGAGATGCTTGGCTAATAATATACTTGTTAAATATCATATTATCTATACTGTATTTTTCTATTTTTATTAACATGATGTTTTGCTGCAGCAATCAAGGTGTTGTAGATAGTAAGGAAATTTGTTTTGCGTTAGTAAGTACTCGCCTAGTTGTGTTTGCGGGGGTTGAGCTTCAGCTCCTTCAGCTAAGTGTAAACTCGACCACGTCATCACCTCTGCCAGAACAAGCAACACAAGGAGAAAGAGCCAGATGACAAACAGGGAGGCCTTATAATGATCATCAGAGATTATAGTAAGAGCAGATAGAGATAATTCACAATTGTTGATAATTGATGACTTGAACTTGAAATCAATAGACTTGAAGGCCTACAAAGCAAGAACAGAGGACTTTTGGACTGGCAGATTTGTTGTTGTGTTGATTTAGGGGCGACGACGATCGTGGGATCGGATGCGCCCCGGCTGCCCAATACCGGGAAATAGCGGAGGGATGGGGTCCCTATAGTCTCTTCAGGCCATAGACCCTATAAACTCCTCAGGCCACAAATTTTACAGTCTCTTCAAGCCACGGACATGACGGATGAATTTGTAAACCTCATCCTGGAAACATTCATGTATCAACATGTTAAGCAGACCATGAGAATAAGGGATAAGGGAAGAATAAGATATATTTGATACCTTCCTTCCTTGGGTATGAGTGACCATGTCGTTTTGGAAGCAAAAATATGCAAAGTGTTATAATCTAGAACAGAATGGGTCAAATGAAGCAGTTGAAAAACTTGATTTCAGAAGAGGATACTATGAAGAACTTGGCAAGTTCTTTAATAAATTTGATTGGAAAGACATTTTTAGGTAAGGAAGTAAATGAGATGTACGCCAAGTTTTCTGAGATATACAGTATGATGATGGCACCAAAATATTTATTCCAAAACAGAGATGCAGAACTTGAAAATAGGATTGGTTCAACAGAAGTTATGAGAAGGCCAGAGAACAAAAATGGGTTCAGTATAGGAAGAGGTCCAACCCTCAAATGTACCAGCAATACAAAGAAACAAGAAACAACTACATGGCAGTGAAGAGAGAGGCAGAAAGAAACTATGAGACAGGGATAGTGGACAAATAAAAAAAAAAAACTATTCTATAAATTTACTAAAAAGCTTTCCATGTGCGGTGTTTCACCTCCAGTCTGGGCCAGCTTGGTCTTTGGACTGTGTTCCTTTCAACCATTTGCCCTCTTGTATGATGGCATCCCCAGCAGTTCAGTTTTTTTTAAGGTTTTGTTTTTTATTTCTTTTACGTCCAGTTATCACTTGGGTGAGCATCGTGTTCTCCTTCTGCGCCAGGGTTTTTGTTGTTTTGGCCTCGGGTGAGGGCGGTTTGTGTGTTTACAGCTGGCTCCCTCTTTTCTGGTGAAGAATGAGTCGGTTGGCTTCTGGAGTGGTCTGTTGGTTGTTAATGTTAGTTGGTTCAGCCAAGGGTGCATCTTGTGAGATATCTGATGGTGGCTCTTTGCCACAAACTTCGTGTCGCTGTCGCTGCTTCAGTGGACTCGTTTGAGTTGGTCCAGTTTTCCTAGTTCCCTTTTCCATGGCTTGTGTTTTGCAGGTCATCTGCAATGTTATCAATTCTAGCCATCCTACACTACCCACATGCCCATGATATTCGTAAGTATGCCACTCTCTCTCAGCTGTTTTTGCAAATATATCGTGAGCCAATATTCGTGGTTGAGGGTTTTGGCAGTTGAATAGGATCCTGGCAGCCAGGTATCTCGTTAATGTTCCCAGTCATCGTCAGCCTTGTGTGGCCTTGGGTTGTGTGTCGTGGCTGATGGTTTCATCTTCATTGTTATACCTGCGGTGCTCCCGCCTCCCTGGTGAGTGCCCTTTCTTTCCTTCTCCATGGCTAGTTATCTTCAGGGAGCCACAAAAGGCTTCCCCTCAGAAAACCAGCATTGAATGTAATGAAATGCCTCTTTCTGGATGAGTCCCGGTGGCTCCCTGACACCCTCCATTTCCCAGGGAGTCGAGGGTGTTTCCATCAACATAGAACTGAGGGTGGAGCAGTCAGCTGACCCAGCTGCCTCCCTCCTCACCCCAAACAAGGAAGGGAGGTGGGGAGAAAGAACTTGCTCTAGTTTCCTTAATTTTCAATTGTTTGTTTACATTGTTGGGGGAATTCTTATGGCATTTTGGAGGCTGTGGTCTCATTTTTAACCAGCAGTGGGCTGTTTTGTCTCGCTGACTTTCTGGATGCCTTCCTTGGTGGTGACAAACATAAATAAAATCATAGAAATTTTGTCATACATGCCACTGCCCCCTGTGCCCCTCTAGAGGAGGGCCAGGTTCTGGCTCATGGTCCCCGGTTTGCCCGAAAGAACTCCACAACTGATGGCACCTAGTACTTCGGCACTCTATCAGCAGCTCTTCTGGGAGCCACTGGGGCTCACCCAGTATTTGGCGTATCATTACATTCAACTCCGGGTTTTTTTTTCCAAATTCAAGTCTCATTTTTTAATATTACTCACAATAATAATGATTGCTCTAACATGTTGAACATAAAATAAATTTACTGTATATACTGTAGACACATTTTACCAATGAGTTAATTTTGTTATTGTCAGGAACATAGGGGTGACAGCAAGACGAGCCTTAATCATTACCGACATCGCCATAATTCACATCATGACTTCTGGTTTTGACCAGTTTGTCAACAATGTTGTCCAAGGAAATGGAATGCTTCATCAGGTAAGGATCATTTATTCCTAGTAAGTATTTATTTCTTAGGTGATATATCTTTTCTCAACAAGCTTTTAAGTTCAATGAAGTACAGTATTTGCTTTTCAGGAGGAACCCTTAGGTGGTTCCCTGAAGATAGCGCACTGAGATAGATTTCCTTTGCAGACAGTGAGTCACAGTAACGTGGCTAAAGATATGATGACCAAACCACACCCCAGAAGAATGCGAAACGACGACGTTTTGGTCCGTCCTGGACCATTATCTTCACATCTAAAAGCATTATCTTGATAATGGTCCAAACGGAATGAAATGTCGTCATTTCTTCATCTTCTGGTGTGTGGTTTGGTCACGATAAATTTCCATTACTGAGTCACATCAGTCATAGGAGCCTGTTGGCATAACAAAGACCAGAGCCAGAACTTGGCCTCCTCACAGAGGTACACAGAGCTGGGGATTGTTATGATCACCCCACGCTGAGAAAGAATCCAGGAAGTAAGCAAAGCAATACAGACATTTGCATAATTCACAAAAATGAAGTACCGAGACAGCCAACAGACTCCGCAGAAGATTCGCTCAAATCCAAATGGTTCACTTGAAGCATAGCTCGAACTTCCTAATATGCAAAGCTACCAACCAATGACATCCAGGAGCTCACACTTCTGAGCCAGTAATGAGTCAGTCTGGAGCTGAAAGACTATGAACTAACATACCTGGTAGAAGGAAGGTCAGAAAGAGGCATTTCATTAAATTCAATCCTGGTTGCTGGAGGAGCCTCTCGGTGGCTTCCTAAAGCTATCTAACAACACAGAAGAAAGAAAAGGTGGGACTTACTACGAAGGAGAAGACATGGCAACCACAAGGGCGAAGATGAGATCCTGGGCCGCAATACCCCAGGGTAACACAAGCCCAATTGGGACCAGGAACATTGATCAAATAACGAATCGCCAAGACCCTGTCCGACCTCTAAAACCCGTGCCCGAATATCAGCATATGGCATGTTAACAAATACAGTGGCCAAAGTCGCAAAGTTTGCAGCTTTGGCCATTGCAAAGTTGGCTGTTAACCTGGCTGTAAAAAAGACAGCCAGGTTCAGTGAGGGTGATCTGAAGAATCCCCTGCTTCCCTGTACTGCTGTGAGGCAGTCAGTCTCAGTGAGGGTGATGTTAAGAATCCCCTTCTCCCTGTACTGCTGTGAGGCAATCAGGCTCAGTGAGGGTGATGTTAAGAATCCCCTGCTCCCTGTACTGCTGTGAGGCAGTCAGGCTCAGTGAGGGTGATGTTAAGAATCCCCTGCTCCCTGTACTGCTGTGAGGCAATCAGGCTCAGTGAGGGTGATGTTAAGAATCCCCTGCTCCCTGTACTGCTGTGAGGCAATCAGGCTCAGTGAGGGTGATGTTAAGAATCCCCTGCTCCCTGTACTGCTGTGAGGCAGTCAGGCTCAGTGAGGGTGATGTTAAGAATCCCCTGCTCCCTGTACTGCTGTGAGGCAGTCAGGCTCAGTGAGGGTGATGTTAAGAATCCCCTGTTCCCTGTACTGCTGTGAGGCAGTCAGGCTCAGTGAGGGTGATGTTAAGAATCCCCTGTTCCCTGTACTGCTGTGAGGCAGTCAGGCTCAGTGAGGGTGATGTTAAGAATCCCCTGTTCCCTGTACTGCTGTGAGGCAGTCAGGCTCAGTGAGGGTGATGTTAAGAATCCCCTGTTCCCCTGTACTGCTGTGAGGCAGTCAGGCTCAGTGAGGGTGATGTTAAGAATCCCCTGCTCCCTGTACTGCTGTGAGGCAGTCAGGCTGAGTGAGGGTGATGTTAAGAATCCCCTGCTCCCTGTACTGCTGTGAGGCAGTCAGGCTCAGTGAGGGTGATGTTAAGATAGTCAGGCTCAGTGAGGGTGATGTTAAGAATCCCCTGCTCCCTGTACTGCTGTGAGGCAGTCAGGCTCAGCGAGGGTGATGTTAAGAATCCCCTGCTCCCTGTACTGCTGTGAGGCAGTCAGGCTCAGTGAGGGTGATGTTAAGAATCCCCTGCTCCCTGTACTGCTGTGAGGCAGTCAGGCTCAGTGAGGGTGATGTTAAGAATCCCCTGTTCCCTGTACTGCTGTGAGGCAGTCAGGCTCAGTGAGGGTGATGTTAAGAATCCCCTGCTCCCTGTACTGCTGTGAGGCAGTCAGGCTCAGCGAGGGTGATGTTAAGAATCCCCTGCTCCCTGTACTGCTGTGAGGCAGTCAGGCTCAGTGAGGGTGATGTTAAGAATCCCCTGCTCCCTGTACTGCTGTGAGGCAGTCAGGCTCAGTGAGGGTGATGTTAAGAATCCCCTGCTCCCTGTACTGCTGTGAAGCAACCAGGTTCTGGCTCTTGTCTCTGGTAGGCTATTAAGGACCCCTAGGGCTGATGTGACTCATGTAATTACCCAAGTACAGTTACAGGATGATGGCTACGCTCGTGGTGTCCCATCATCCCAGCACTCTTTGTAATATAATGCCTTAAAACTACTGGCTGTTTTGGGCTCCATCACCTTATCACTTACTTTGCTCCAACTGTCTAGCACTCTGTTTGCAAATGTGAACTTTCTAATGTTTTTTCAGCATCTTTGTTTCCTTAGTTTGAACCTATGTCTTCTAGTTCCCGAAATTGCAGTTTTCAAAAATTGTTCTTTGTCAATTTTGTTAATTCCTGTTACTGTTTTGTACGCAGGTGATCATATCACCTCTTACTCTTCTATCTTCTAGCATTGGTATATTCAACGCCACTAGCCTCTCTTAGTAGCTTTCGTTTTTCAGTTCCGGTAGCCATTTAGTTGCATGTCTTTGCACCTTTTCTAGTTTAGTGATGTGCTTCCCGAGATATGGACACCATACAACTGCTACATATTGCAATTTTGGCCTCAAAAGTCATGAACAGTTTCTTTAGTATTTCACCACCCATGTATCTCAGTGTGGCTAGCTACAGGGGGCCACCATTTGGCCCCTCCAGAAAATATTTTATTGAATTTACCATTTTCTGTCCAGTAAATAGGTATTCTTACTTCACTGGAAGTCTAGCATTACTTCATGTTGCAATTATTCTCAACGATCGTACGACCAAAACAGAATCGTACCGTTGTAGCCAAACTTCTGGTGGACAGAGTTCTGTTTGATCTGTACTGTAATTCATGAGTTGTACATTAACAGTGAGGCATGGATCACATTCAGTCTAGCCGCATGTTTTATTACTGCTGCATAGGAACAAATTACAGTATGTGGCCTTTGGATTCGGCTTGTTCAGTATTATTTCTTTTTTAAGCCTATGATTATGGCATTGCTTTGAGCCGTTGACTATGTTGGGATATAATTTGTGATATTCTTTATTGCAGGTACTGCGCGATATATTTTTCATGATTCCTGATATCCTTCATCTAATCCTACCATTATTAGAGCTCAAGAAAATTGCTCATTCGCGTAATGTGCCGACAGCGTATCTTATTTCCAACAAAGAATTTTTTTCTTCTGTGGGTTTTGTCCTTTGTGGATGGTGTCTTTGCTTAGTGCTTTAATATAGTACCTTATTAATATGAAAAGCATAATACTACAAGAATTTTATTTTTGGAGTTGCCTTGAACTCTAGCATTTTAAGGAATTACCATGAGAAAAATATCTGAAGACATTTTCTACATATACAGTATCATACTGTATAATACAGTCTAAGCAAAAGTAATGTAATGGAAACCTTAACCCTCAAATTGTAGTCGTTGTCATTTATTAACATTGTAGGCTTTGTGGTCATCGCTATTTTGCCAATTTTCATGATTATTTCCTGGTTTTGATACCAGTGTTGCAAATATGGTTACAATAGTACAGTACATCTAAATGGAGGTAATAGTTTTAACCATGATCGATGAGAAATTCTGCTATTGTTTTGTAATTGCTTACTCTGTGATGAGGGTGTCGCGTACCAGGGGTCTACAGTTTTTGTCAGATGGTGATTTTGTCGTTATCAACAGTGTTTGACCCGGAGCCTGGACGGTGTTCCTAGACACAATCGTGACAAAAAAATGGGGTTTGTATGACACTTCTTCTGAACGGTCCGAGGAGCATTAACACCGTATAGGCTTATACAGTATATTGTAGGCTTGGTACAGTACAGTATTGGATCACTGTTTTTGTCAATTATTTGTTCATAAACTTTCTTATTCAACACAAACACTATATTGTGTAAACTAATAAGTGAGACAATGAGCATAAATATCATCCAAATGGAACATTTATAGTCGTCTCCTCCACAATCAATGTGGAGTTTTATTTTATTTATTTTTTTATGCAAGTCGGGTGACAATTTTTATGATAACCGCATTCTGAGGGTTAAATATTCAAAAATATTTTGCTACTGGAACAAAACTTCAATGTTCAGATCAAATGTTTGTATGCAATCTGGTCCAGATTGGCATCATCAGTACTTGCCAACTATATTTTTGTCAACAAAAATACTAAACATTTGCATTTAGTACTAAATAATACTAAACACTTATCTTTAAAATTAAATAATTTACTGTGCTTGTACTTAAACTATACACTACTAAAAATGGAACAGATCAGTTACAGTAAAATAATGTGGCTTTTATTGTGTGGGCGGCCCAATGTTGAAGACTCGGACCTTTCCCAGTCTCGTGACTCACTTTCTCCGTGGCCTGGTTTTCTATAATCGGGGACAGGGGTTCCTATTAGGATTTCAAGGTAACCCCTACGGCCTTGGCCAACTGCTTCTCTTGCTTGGGTTACTACCAACAACAGTTGTCTAACTGGTGGGTGAACATAGGCATCAGGTGAAAGGAAATGTTGTTCAAGTGCCTGTGTCCGTCTGTGGGAATTGAACCAGAGATCTTTTGTGTGTGATACAATTCCCACCCTATACACCCATTATACACTCCCACCCACACATTCAGCACTCACACTCTATCCACACATCCAGCACTCATTCACACCCACACACCACTCACTCATTGCCACCTCACACACCCAGCACCCAATCCCACTCCCACCCACACACCCAGTATTCACTCCCACCCAGCACCCACCCCACACATCGTCTAGCCCAAGTGCCCAACCACTTGCAATGGATAGTAGAGTGACGGTTTCGCTTCATGCAGGTCGGCATTCAATCCCCAAGTGGTTAGACACCATTCCTTTCCCCCCGTCCCATCCCAAATCCGTATTCTGACCCCTTCCCAGTGCTATATATTTGTAATGGCTTGGCACTTTCCCCTGATAATTTTCCCCTCCAACCCACCCAGCACTCACTCCCAGTGTTCATTAGAGTCAAAGCTGCACCTAACTGGTACTATACTGGTTTGTACTCTAATCCTTATTATGTGGATTGTGTGAGGAGACAAACATCCTCTGGTCATGGGCCACTACTCCGGCAGTCGAGGGCTTCCTTCGTAGATTGTGAGGGTTGGAAAATACTCTTACCTGTTGCCCGGGTGACTTATTTTTCCCCTAATATCACATGAGAAGGTTGAAGGTGAAACTACATACATATTTAGTTATCAAAGTGGTATCTAAGCATGTCCATATTCTGTATTTACATATCTTTTCAGGAATGGAAAGGTACTTGACTCATCATAAGGTGTGCATGGTAGACTAGTCATTGATTCATGAACACCAGTGTTGGTGATCCCATTTTCCCACCTCGGCGGTTAGTGTAGTGTCAACGAGACAGCATTTAATAAGTGGCAGTTAATTCATTATAGCCATTCACATTGTAATACTGTACAGTCATATTCACCAACATAATGTTACGATCTAGCCTTGACACCTGCATGTAGTAGCATAAACCCCCTTGTGTTTTAATCTATGTAGATGTAGTGTAAATAAATTAATATTATTACATACATCATCTTTCTCTAAAACCTGAATGGACCTTTGCAATCCCAACTGTTATGCACCCCTTGTAATCTTGATCAAAAGCAAACATCGTTATAAAATATGATGCCAATCCTGGAGTCTTCTCAAGTCCCTTCTCCAGGTTGAACCGAGAAGACAAACCCCAGAACAGTCAAGTGTTAATAATTATGTCCAGTGGTAAACTTATCCCTTCAAAGGATTGAATTAATTGTAGACACATGAGGTTTCATGCTCCAAACTGGCTATTACTCAAATGCTGTTTTCTTGGTAGCTTTGTATGGGCCTGCGGGCCGCTCCAAGCAACCGCTTGTTGGACAAAGTTATCACAAGTCGAGCCTGACCTCAGGTCGGGCTTGGGGAGTAGAAGAACTCCCAGAACCCTCTCCAGGTATGCTCCAGGTATAAATGGTCTGACTTGAATATTTTATATACTGGGGATACATTTAATTTTATTGCCAATAGATGGAAGCATTTACCCAGGTTCAGATGCTATTATAAATGTCTGAGCACCCGGTGGAAAATTTCATGATTTGTAAACTATTTTCTATTCACCTGAACTGAGGTTACCCCATCTTATTTTCATGGGTCAACAACTATTGCCTTTAGCAGCAAAAGGGTTAAAATTGTTTGCTTTAGAACTTACTAACATGGAGCTTTCAAAGACACAGGCAAAGTTTCTAAGACATTTTTCTATCCACTACACTAATAAATGAATTTACTGTACTTGCCATACCTTATTATATATACACAAATATATTCCCCAACCTGGTGGAAGTTTGCCCTCATCTTTTTATTTATTTATATATACATATACAAGAGTTCTTACGTTCTTGTACAGCCACTAGTACGCGTAGCGTTTCGGGCAAACGCTATCTATTACCTGGTTTAGCCCAACTACTCACAACCTATGAAATATCCAAAGAAAATTATAGGAATTTGTTGAGAAGTGAAGGGAACTATCAGGGGAAAGTGCCAAGCCAGTACGACTCTTATAGCACTTGGAAGGAATCAGGATAAGGATTTGGGACGGGACGGGGGGAAGGAATGGAATGTTAGAGGTAACAGCAATGAGGTAAGGCCTCATAACTGGCTCGCACCTAGAGTGTGTAGCACTAGGTCACTGGTCACGTAATAGAGTATAAACTGTAATGTATAATAACTTTTACTACAAGTTTAAATACTGTACGGTATAGTAAAAACATTAATTTCCTTTTTTTTTTTATTACTAAAGATGCAAAAAATTGATTACAAATGCAGTATGTGAAATTTGAGTTGTACACATAAGGCAGGTCGGCCAAGCATGTCGTGGCTCCTTTGTGCAATGGACGCGGTGTACCGCCATTGAAGGGAGCCGGTCGGCCGAGCGAACAGCACGCTGGACTTGTGATCCTGTGGTTTCGTCCCGGGCGCCGGCGAGAAACAATGAGTTTCTTTCACCCTATGCCCCTGTTACTAGCAGTAAAATAGGTACCTGGGTGTTAGGCTGTCACGGGCTGCTTCCTGGGGGTGGAGGCCTGGTCGAGGACCGGGCCGCAGGGACACTAAAGCCCCGAAATCATCTCAAGCTTAACTGTACAGTAAGCAACTGAAGCCCTTAAAACTTGACCAAATACTATATTTAATGGATAACATGTTCAGTATGCTGTGACTGTGTGAATTATATAGTTTATTTAAATAGTAGTTTTGAAGCCAAGAAAGCTGTACTCACCTAATTGTGCTTGCGGGGGTTGAGCTTTGGCTCTTTGGTCCCGCCTCTCAACTGTCAATCAACTGGTGTACAGATTCCTGAGCCTACTGGGCTCTATCATATCTACATTTCAAACTGTGTATGGAGTCAGCCTCCACCACATCACTGCTTAATGCATTCCACCTGTTCCACCTGTAAATAGGAACCTATGTGCTCTTCAGTAATTTTTCATTCAAGGTAGTTTTATTTAGAGGACACATGTTGAGGAATGATTTGTGTTGAAAATATAGTGATTAAATTTCCAGTTGATAGTGTAACATCCTCTACTTTATTAATCTAATATTTATCCATTCTCACTGTTGTAAATTCACCGAGTTAAAATTACATTTTCAGGAATCTTTATTTACTTTATTTACTCATTTATTTGCTCATATTTTATCCAGAAAACGATGTTGTTTTCTAACTATCAATGCTAACAGCCACATATTTGGTCAGTGTTCTGAAAAAAAACGATGTATTTGGTCAGTGTTCTGAAAAAACGACAATGTATTTGGTCAGTGTTCTGAAAAAACGACAACGCATTTGGTCATTATCCTAAAAAATATGTACGTTGACCATTTTGTCTCAATATTTGGCATGTTGGAATGCACATACAGTTTTATTTTAGTTTAATGACCATATGATTCAATGTAAACATATTTTGATAATATTAAACAATGGCAATCCTAATAAACACAAAATTAAAGTCAAAGTTTTCCCTTTCATAATTACATTTTCCCTGAACATTGTAAATAAAAACAATACCACTAATTTGTCAACTATAAGAAGAACTTGTAAATATGCTACATTAAGTAATACGTAGTCAAAGGAAATAGCTAATTATTTGTTAAGAATGTCTAACAATTAATCCTTCGGGTATATAAGTGCTCCAAGAGTGAGATGACTAATCATTATATCATACTTATATAGTATTGTTTTTGATCATTTGTAGTATAGCAAGCACTAAAGAGTATCACTGTTCCGTAATCCTCTTGTTTTTGGGTAATCCTTGTGTGTGTGTGTGGTTTTAATGCTGCGTATTTTCAAACTGCTGTACAGTACATGTACGTATACGTCTTGCTTTTGGTATAATAAATGTTTGTATGAACATGAACTTTTCATGGCCATGATTTTGTTTTTATTTTCTGGTGAAGCCCTGGGGGGGGGGGTTCCTGATGCTAGCTTGCTGAGATTGTTCCATGCTAAAAGGTCAAATTAGTCATGTTTGGTCTACTACAGACCAGAGCCAGAACCAAGCCAACCCCTCAGAGTTGCAGCGAACGAGTGACAATCCGCCACCATATTGGGAAGTATACAGAAAGTCAGCAAAGCCTTATAGACGACTGGAGGGTTCACAGAAAATAAAGCCTTGAAGACCGCTAAACATTTCACATGGACCAAGGGATTCACTCAAGCTAGCTTGAAAATTTGTTGGAACTGATTGCTACCACCAGGAAAACTGGCGCAGCCTGCACTGACTCCCATGGTCAGTTTTGTTCCTGATGTTCTAGTGGAAGGTTTTACCAGTAGTGCTTCAGTCCATCATTCACAAGAAAGTTCTCCATCTTGTTTTTTGGCTTTTGTAACACTTTGGGCTGCATGTACTCAGGGGCCAGATTCACAAAGCAGTTACGCAAGTACAGTACTTACAAACGTATACATTTTTCCTCAATTTTTTATGGCTTTGGTTACATTTATTAAACAGTTTACAAGAATGAAAACTTGCCAATCAACTGTTGTTATTGTTATAAACATCCTCCTGGTGCTTCGAAGCTCCTTAACTGTTTAATAATTGTAAACAAAGCCGCCAAAGATTGAGAAAAGATGTACAGGTTCGTAAGTGCTTGCATAACTGCTTCGTGAATCTAGCCCCAGAACTTTTTTCCCAGGGCGCTCCATAGCATTATCCCAGCACTGACAGTTATCTTTTCTGGTGTGTTAAAGAGTTTGCCCCGTGATGCCAGACCAGCGGAATAGAAAGCCTCACCAAGGGCTATTCACGGGTCTTAGACTCTTCTGTTTGGGCCCTTGACTGGGGGAACTCTTTTTGTTGTGCTGGGGTGTGTTGGGGTTTATGTACTGGTACTTGTTTATACATTGGTTGTTATACAGTAGCTGCTTTTGGTGACTGTTCTTCTAGTGATTGGCCTCAGTGCCTAGGGTTTCTGCTTGATTAGCTACCTTTAGTCCATGGTAAATCCCTCATAAGTCTCCAGTGTAGTCCATTATGGATTGGTCTGTCAAGCTCGCCCTCAACGATTGCAAGTTTGAAGGGCATTCTTCGTCTTGTTACCTGAAGATAATTATTCTTTCTGCCTCCATTATGTTTCCTACTAGGTCAATAACACCTATGAACTGGAGCCCTGTGAGGTTTGTTCTCTCTGGGTTTCTGCCCTTACTGATTCAGTATTGAGTTTATAGCTTTTCATGCAACTGCCATATTGCAGGCTAGGTTTGCTCGGGTTAGGTGTTCACAGCATATTGATCATCTGTATAACCCCTGGAGTTGGCTCCTATGGTGTGTAGGGACCTAGAGTTGAGGGTTTTGGTGACCACCTGGAATTAGTCTGCACCTCCTCTTCCTTGCTACCCTGTGGGCATGGCTCTGGTCTTCTCGTTCCCTCCTGGTTCAGACTCCCATGCTCGGAGGCTGTCAGATTCAAGTCAGGGTTTAGCTCGAGGGTGGTCCTGCTCACTTATAGGCTGAGGCAGTAGACCCTTGTGGTTCTGCCGGGGTTTCAGGGCAATGGTCTTCACAGCCACACCCCTGCTCAGAATCTTCTTGGAAGAATGCCTTTCTGTTATGGGTGTTAGGTGAGGACTGGCTCTGCCCCAGAGCATTCATGGCAGGCTGGAAGGCTGAGGGGTAGCCTGAAGAGGACCCATGGGTACCCTTTAACCCTTTGTGGACCTTGGTACACTTTGGGGGGGGGGGGTATTTTTCTTATTCCCCCTCTATGTATGCGCAGGATTGCTTGGCTGCTTCCCCTCGGTGGTATGTATGGATTTGTTTTGGTTCCTCCTATGGAATTCACACCAATTTTCTTTGATGGACCCAGCCTCTTTTGAATTCAGAATCTGTCTCAGCTTATTCATTGTGGCATGAGGTTTCTGGTTCATCTTAACTGGCTGACAAACCTCACTTTTCCTTGAGGACTTGGCAGGAGGTGACTTTCATTTTTCAGGTGTTCTTTTTGCTCTGTTTAAGAACTTTGCTCAGGCACTCCTAAAGGATGTGGGAGGGTGGCAGCTCGACATG